GCAGTGTAAAAATGTTTTACCACCATTAAAACACACATTTAGGTTTCTATTAGATAGTGAATAAAATGGCTACATCTGTGTTGTAGACACTGCGACCCCTGCGACACCTCCTATCACCACCACTATAAAGGCATAAAGGAGTCTGTAAGTGTCTCTATAATAAACACTTTCACATCAAACCACTCTGAATGACTCTGTTTACATCTCAGATTTTCTGGCATGAATAGCTTTTAAAAAAATACATCTTATGCTAAAACCTTCTTAAAAATATAGTAAAACAGTGTCTCAGTCATCAGGCAGTGAATTCATAACCATTTCATGTAGTCACTTTCTGTGATGGAGCTTTTAGAGGCATTAAACTCTTCAGACGTCTGCTTCCTATCACCACCACTGTGAACCATTCTGGCTCTGTTCGTTCACTACAACGGAGCATTTCACACTAAACCACTCTGAATGACTTTGTTTACATCTCATCGACTGAACTGTTAAAATATTTTGAAATTTTTGGTGTAATTCTCCTCTAACACCAGACGTAGTAAACCACAAATGGCTCTGCCGCAATAAACTAAACAAGAACCACTTAACCAATTCTTATAAGCTCAGTATGATTAAACTTTCACACTGTTTACACTGTTGGTGCAAATTATTACCATGAGATGTGAGACAGATGTGCTTTTTCACTCTAGTTTTGCTATTATAATTAATCCTCTACTGCACACATTTTTTGGCATAAAATGGTCCTTGATTTATGTTTTTGGACCTGTTTATTAAATTCAAAAACATTACAAAAAATAATAGTAATAACGTGTGCAGGGGACCTTTTGGAGTATGTTGCCTTGAGGTAACATTGTGCGACAATGGGAGGAAATGGTACAGAGCCGTGTCCCATGAAGTGGGAAGACCTGGCTTGTGACTGGCTAAAACCATTCCACTGTCACAAAATGTTGCTTCTAGGCAACAAACATATTTCTGCAGGTTTAAACGCGCCCACTAAGAGATAGTATGACGAAGACCATGGATTTTTTATCGACTTACTAAAACTTTTCTCTGTATCGTTAACCCTATCATTGTATTTAAATACGTACAATGTCATTGTAAAGTGAGGAAAATTAGTTCGTTGCCCTGAAGCAACATCATGGTATAGAGGGTTAACATCATTATGTCAAATGAAGTGTTTTATCACAATATAGCAAAACCAATTTTTATTTTTTTTTATTCTAATAATAAACACTATTATCGCCACTGTAATCAGTACTTTTATTGATATTTTGGTTTATCTTTTGGGCATAGCATGTCCAGAGATAAACATCACCCTCCCCTACGACAGCTGCAGTATCGTATTTCATTAGCTTTTAAAAACATGTACATCTGAGTGTCTTATTCAGTGACACCAATAACCCTCTCGATACTCCAAATACAATTTCATATCAAGAAAGAAGGGGCGCAAGTGTGTTTCTGCTCTTTACACCATAGTGAGTCCTCATTTACCAAAGTCTGATCCAGTCAATCAGGGCTGGGTTTCCCAAAAGCTTCTAAGCACAAAGATGATTCTTAAATGGTAGAGCGAGCATCACACTGAACACTCTCCCCACCAGTTAAGACCATCTTAACGCTAAGATGTTTTTGGGAAACTGGGCCGGGATCAACAGCGACATTACAGGTAAGCAGTTCTTGAGAAAAGTTACCTGGTTTTACACTCCAGACACATTAACGCTGCAGCCAAACACCGTCGCGGACTTTGAATCGAGAAGTCCTGATAAACACACGTTATCCGAGTCACTGTCAGTGTGTATGTGTTATTATGTGTGTCTTGGCCGGCCTTTTACCCTCGTTTACTGTGTATTCTATCAAAGCCAGAATCAATACAGCCGATTAATACTACACCACAGTCAGCAATAACTGGGATGGCTGAGATAATAATAATGAGACTGATAAGGAATCCTATTATAGCAATTCTTTGTTGTATGTATATATATATATATATATATTTCACTTCTCTTGTTAATACACACTGTGCAATATATCACTACTGTAAGGATGTAATGATGCACTTTGGACTGTAAATACTGCTGCTATTCCTAGACCTCCTATCTCCAAAATGGTAACTTTACAGGAGAAGGAAAAAACCTACTTTACTTTTAATGTAAGTCAATGGAACCAGAGTTTTTTCAATGTGATTTTGGGTCGTTTCTTTTAGTCCATTCATCATGTAATTTACACACAATGTAAAGATCAACAGGTATTTTCAAATTATGTCAAAAACTGAAAAACGACAAAAATAGAGATACGAGGTTTTCTTCCGACAACAGTGATATGCAAATAGATATACTTTTATTCCTACTCTCTCATACTTTAACGTATGTCTATTTTGTGTTATTTCTGCCGAACGTATTTATGTGCAATTACATGTCTTGCTACTGTAACACTGCAATTTCCCTTTGGGATCAATAAAGTTTATCTATCTATATGTATGTACGTATGTGTGCATATATCACTCATTTAATGTTGATATATCTCTTTAATTGTAACATTATAAATACATGCAACGGTGAGTATTTATTTCACATTAAAGCTGCTCGGGCTAATGGTCGCGTTCATGTGTATAATCCCAGTCCGTGAACATCTGGATTAGCCGTACATCTGAACTGCAGCACAAAACAGAGTCACATGGTTTGCTGGCATCTGCGGCACGCAAATGTTCTGGTAGGTTTTCTTTTCCCACCCGTATTCCGACAAAACCCGCCCTCCGGCGCTGGGATTGGCTGCTGGGGTCTCGTCTCCTGGGCTACGATTGGCCAACAGTTCACACTCCTGTCAGTATGAACCGCCGGCCATGCCAAGCGCTCTAGAACGGTGGGAGTAGAGGTGGGCGATACGGCTAAAATATCACGATATTTCAAGACATTTTCACGATATATGATATGCATCACGATATTTAGTTTTTTTCTGAGATTTAATAAACTGGAACAGACAAAAGAGAACCACATATATAGAACCACATATAAAAATACCGCAATAATAATAACAGTAATAATCTTAACAAATCCACAAGTAAGCTCATTAGTGGTTCTATTTAGAACCATTTCATGCTTAATGGTTCTTTGCATGGTGAAACGGCTCTTCAGATTGATTCTATATAGAACCTTTTTGAAAATGGTTCTATATAGCACCAACAAGGATTCTTCTATTGTTACAATCTTGACATTGCATACAAAAGCAGAACCTTTTTGGTGCTCTATACAACTATTTTCTAAAGGTTCTATACAGAACCATACTTAACACATTCTTCATCAATCTGAAGAACCATATTACCATACAAATAACCATTTAAGCATGAAATGGTTCTAAATAAAACCACTCCCTTTACTAAAGAACCCTTGAAGAGCCATCTTTTTTGAGTGTAGAACATTAAGGGTGGTCTTTAATGCTGCTTTGGTGTGGTTAAAGGTGCAGTGTATAAAATTTAGTGGCATCTAGTGCATACTGGAATCCCCCTCCCTGGCCCCTCCCTTTCCAAGCGTGTAGTAGAATCTATGGTGGCCGTCAGGTTTTTGTTTCTTTGACGACGAGGATTCACCCCCCCCCCACCGCTTTTGCTTGTGCTAAATAACGTATATGATCCTCTGTTTGACAACAATTGGGGTCTCAAACTTTTCACAACACAAGGGGCTCATTGTAAGCTAACAACATCACAACGAATCGTAGTTACAGGTGATTATAAACATACTATTATAAAACTGATAGTTCCGGTCCTAAAATCTGATTGGCTCAGCCACGTTCGAAGCTGTTGTAAAATCTACGATATACCACGGCTATGACCGCTTCACAACTCTGTATTACTGCGCCACGGCACGAAAAACCCTACTGCTGTTAATGGATTAACCTTTGACTCCGAGTATACTGATGAAATAACACCTTTTTTTTTAAACTAGTTACTTATGTCACCTGAATGTCTTACACACTTCAAATGTTGGTGTTTCAGTCAGACGTAGAATCAAACCCAGGCTGAATCCCAAACGGCTCTGTACTCCCTAAATAGTGTTCTAGCTATGAAAGTTCAGAAATTCTAGCCTCTACAGCCAAACAGTGCATCATGTATCGAGTGTGTCTCAGTCCCAGATGACCATTTCTCAGCTGTATTTTACTCTGTTGGGCTGCAGGATCCAGTATATAAATTTCTACATAGTGCACTATGTAGGGAGCAGGGACCCGTTTGTGATTCAGCCCCAGTGTGAGAAGATAGGCGCTAAAATATTGGTGCTAAATAAGATAATTTGGTATCAAAAAGTACTTATAAAGCGAAGGTTTTCCCATTACACAGTGCTGTGTTATCATACATTCACTGTTATACGAATAATCATGAAATGACCGCAATATACAGCGATGGGCGACCGAACGTTCTCCTCATTCAGCGCCCATGGGTGCTTGGCAACAATACCTAAGTGATACTCTAAGTGAGCTACAGTTTTTGGTGGAATACTTGTTTATGTTGATTATTATTAATAATAACTTAAATTCTGAAAATCGTTCATCATATTTCATGTTGGCCACTAATTTATAAAGGTTTCTTTCACTCTGCTTCGCGTCATGCCTAACAACACCCTTCCCGTGATAAAATCACAGTAACGCACAGCCTCTCTCGGCTTATTGCTTTAATGAAAACATTGCTTTAATGTACAACATTCAATTCCTGCTAACAGGCCCGCCTAAATCTTACACACTGCACCTTTAAGCGGCTCTTTCTCCACGAACGCTCTTTAAAAAGCCTTTAAACAGGCTTCTCAGTCAGAGCGCCCAATCAGAGCCGAGCTTAGCGTAAGAGGGCGTGGCTTTCCTGAATACGGGTGGAGAATAAAAAAAAACGTCGCACGCTGGCAGAGCCTATAGTAACCTGTGGGCTTCACTTGTCGCCTGTTTTTGTGCATTTAGCCTGCTCCCCACCCCTCTACCTATAAACGCGCTCGCGTGCGGCCCTGTGTCCGGTGAGCGGTAAACCGTACCTCTTCCACGGAGGTGTTAGGAAGCAGTCCCCGCGCTGCGAGCCCCGTCCTCAGCTCCGCAATGTCGATCCGCCCGTCCTTGTTCAAGTCCAGCTCCTCGAACAGCTCGGCCCACAGCCGCTCTCGGTCGGGCTCCACCTCGGCGTCCTGGCACCAGGCCCGGCTCCAGACCCCCCTCCAGCCTGGCTGACCCATCGGTGGCCCGCCCGGGAAAGCCGCCTAGGTTAGGGCGTCTGCCTTCTCCTTCGCCTTGCGGCTGCTTTCACCCTCCACTAGCGGAAAAACATCGCGGCTCGGCCGAAAAGGAGGCAGAGCCGTTAGAAAAGGCACAAATAACGGAAAAGAGTGTTTAAGTTTGAACCTTCAATAACGTTCTTTTTGCTGTCCGCGTGCGTTCTACGTTCCGCGGGCTGGCGTTCTGCCGCGTCACAGCGGGTGGCTGTGTTTTTTTTTCTTCAGGTTCCAAAACCAGGAAGCTCTCGAGCTGAATTGACTCCAACAAACGCGCCGTGTCGTTTCTTCTCGCTCCCGGCTCTCAGACCGCCGCAGCTCCCTCCGTTCACCGTTCACCGCCCAGCCGCCCTCGCGGAGCGCCAGCTCTGACCGACCCCCCGCCCGGCTGCCTTGGCTGGAGCGGACTGAGCTCGGACGCCTGTGCGAAACGAGTCTGCGTGTCTTCCGTTGCCGTTCTCGGCTCGTGTTTCCCCGCAGTGCCTTAGGAAAGCAGAGCGGGCTCTAAAGCACCCCAGCCTGGTTCTCCTCACGGAGGGGTTGGGCGGGGGGGGGGTTCACTGGCCTGAGGACCCCCAGCAGGCAGACAAGCTTAGCCAGCGTGTGCGTTTGGGTTTTCGTCGCGCGCCCTTTGAGTGGGGGAAATTTAGACTCGCGAGCGCATGTTGTTCAGGTCACGGGGTCAGGTCCAACAGCAGAGCGCGCGCGTGTGTGCTGCGTGCTAGTAAACCATCCAGATTTATCCGAGGGAATGTTTGAGGTTTGGTGTCGTTTACAGTAGAGGGGATTTGTGGCAGCGCTAATGGACCAGCAGCATTTGCCGGCTAGTTAGAGAGCTGTTTGTTTAAATATGAACAGCCTCAGTCTGACAGGTAGGCTGGGTTAGAAGTGTAAGTATACACTCTCTCATAGAGCCAGTCTCTCTCTCTCCCTCTCTCTCTCTGTGTCTACCTAAATGCTGCTCAACCCAACTGCATACTTCAGTGCTTTGAGATGTAAACAGAGTCATTCAGAGTGGTTTGGTGTGAAATGGTTCACTGTACAGAAACTTACAGACTCAGATGTCTTTACAGTGGTGCTGATAGGAACCAGGGGTCACAGTGTCTGCAACACAAATACAGCCACTTTGTTTACTATCCAAAAACCACCAGTGAACCCACACGCGTCTTCTGAGTGTTTATATGTAAAGCCAATAAGGGTATAATAGTGCTAAATCTATTTTCTTTGGGGACTGTTTTGCCTTGTAACATCCTGCATGCACCCCTCCACCATAGGCTTTAGGCCTAAACCTTCTAAAACTGTCCTAAAACAATGACCCAGACATCAGGCAGTGAATTCATAACCATTTAATGTAGTGACATTCTGTGAGGGAGCCTTTAGAGGTGGACGTCTGGTTCCTATCACCACCACTGTGAACAATTCTGACTTGGTAAGTCTCACTAGAACGGAGCGTTTCGCACCAAACCACTCTGAATGACTCGCTAGTCTAATCACCTTACAAAAGTCCTCGTCCCCAAGGAACAACAGTCTTTGAACCAAACTTAGGGGCCTCCTCCTGGGGCGTCCTGGGATAGGCCTGTCCCCCATCCCGCCAGCACAAGTGCCGCAGTGTGCACGGCACAGCTCCGTGTCCTCCTCCTGGGCGCAGTGGAACTTCTCACGGTCCATTGCCAGTGGGTGCGACGACAGCAGCAGCGGAAAACCTCCCGGCCGTCTTCCGCTTCCTTCTTTGTCCTCTGTGTGGACGATGCTGATGAGGGTGCTGGTGTGTGCCACCCCCAACCCTCAGGGATCCATCTACCGGTGCTGGTACTCCTCCAGTATTGATGGCTTCCAGATTTCCCACTGATGTCACGGAAGTCAGGAACAGCGTACGTTGGCAGCTGGAATCTGAGCTAGCTGACCTGCCCAATCTTGAAGATGCAAACTCATCTACTGTCACACAAACAGAGCACACCCTCAGACCCTCCCCTGTCTCTTATATTAGAGAGTCTCCTCACTCCCTGAGCTATGTAGCTTAGCTTAGCTGCTAGCAGGCAAATCGTCCGAATGCCTCGGCAGCGAAACTTTTACTTCTTCACGCTGGTTGTAGCATTCGCTGGTAATTAAGATACAATTAAGATGCTTTGGCACAAGTCGTGGTGCTTTATTAACCCGCTGTTGTTGGCCACAGCCGCGCTGTGCATGAGCAGAGTTTTCTCTAAGGCCTGAAACACACCTCACGCAGGGACGCGAATGCAGACGCTTAGAGCTACACAGACGAGGATTCGTGCGTAGTTGCATTCAAAAATGTGTCACGACGCATTTCATAACACAACACAGGCACAAGCTGCATTCTGAGCGTTACAGCAAGGGGGCACTGTAACAACAGCCAAGCCTGTCCAAGCGGTCTTGTACCGCCAATGTATTTTCTCACGCAAAGATGGCTTACATAAAAATAAAAACATGATACATATCATCTTTCCACTTTCAATAACAGTAGGTCCCTCTCTGATTTGTCCTCTATCGCCCCCTTCAGTACTGAGTATTTTAACTGCCACAGCAACGTAAGAACGTCCAGCGAGTTTGTACAGAAGGACCGAGCGCTGTCCTTTACGTTGAGTATGTTTCTGGCCTAACAGTTCGCTTCTAAGCTTCAGCTCACATCTCATTACCTCAGCTCTCGGTTCTTGTTTCTCTCTAGGTTCTTCCTGCTCTCATAACCCCCCTCCCCCTCCGCGGAACAGCCCAGCCTTCAATAAGAGTCCTTATCAGAATAACTCCGTGAATAAATGCTGAAGAACTAACAACCTAGACTAACATGACAAAAACATCTCCTGACCACACTACTGTGTGTTGCCTGATGCCTGAGACGTGTTTTTAGACGTTGTCTTAGATAGAAGGTTTTGGCCTAAATCTCATTACAGTATTATTTCAGATTCCCATCAACCATCAACATAACCATCAACATTACACATAAAAATTTAGAAGACGCATAAGATCACTGGTGGTTTTAGATGGTGAATAAATTGGCGATATTTGTGTTGTAAACATCGCTGTCTGTTTATTATGTGTACATACAGTTCCAGAGTAGCTACTGTTGCAACTGTATTCCCCCTTGAAGGATCAATAAAATGTTTTTTTTCTAATAAAATCTGCTATTTTGTAAGAAGAAGAAGTAGTTTTTCCTCACAGAGGGCAGCCAGACATCCCCACAATGAACTGATCTGACATCCCGAGGGCTACAAGCGTTTACACACGTACACCTGTGCAGCATCCCACCTGTTCTCTGTGTCATCACTCTACTTAGCCCACAGATACAGGTGTGAATGACACACAAATACAAAGAGCGTGCAGCACACCTGCGCCCCTTTTACAAAATCAGCTTGCATAACAGAGGGGGAGCTCTAAAAATACGCCTTTGCTGAAGGCTAGCATCGTTCACCATTGAGCTCTCACCCCAGGGACAAACGTCATAAACGCCCAAGCTGTTCACACCATGTACTTAATGTGCCATTAGGCCTTAATTAGCTATTGTCAGGGATGATTTATGTGTTTATAATCCTAAATGGATGTTCCATGTTGACCTCACACACACTTTCCTTGGCAAACATCTGTCTGTCTGTCTTGTGATTGCAGTGTCGGATAAACAGAGCTTTATAAGAGCGGCGCACACGGCTGGAGACAGGTAAAGACAGCGAGCGGGGTGAGAGACACTGAGTTTATTGGAAATCACTATCTTTTTGGGTAACTGCTCCCACGGTCCTTGATGTGTAAGGGGCTCTCCGCTATACCCTCATCATGCCTGGAGAAGTGAGTATGAGTGTGAGTGTGCAAAATACAGAGAGAGAGAATAAGTTTATTGGACTTTTTTCAGTGCACCTGTGCAAGTTAACTGAAAAGTTGTACGCGTGTCTGTTTTAGGGCGAAGGGGATGCGGGTGATGTTAACCCACCTGACAGAGAAGCCACACAAACACAGGTAACACATGTACTCATAAGTGTATGTAGTCTTACACGTTGTTTGGTTGCCTGAAACTTGCAACTTTGGTTGCATGAAACTTGCATGAAACTAAGTTTCGCTTGTTGCATAATGTAGTCCTGCAACTTTTTGGGCGGGCTTTACATGGTGAAATTTTTACACAATTAGTTGCATGCTATGAGTTGCCTGCAACATCATTTCTGTGCGATGGGGCAACTACATGAAGCAAATAAAAAACAGTTGCCTGCAACACATTCAGTTAGCCAAATTAGCAGTTTGTATTTTTTGATATGCAATGTCGTTCTTGCTATAAAGCTATTTTGGCTGGCTATGCATGGCGAATCGTCTTCATTGATCCAGTGAAATCAGTCGTATTAAACAATGTTTTGATTGGCTGTTTCATGACACTTGTTCCATGAAGTTGAGACGCTTGCAACTGTTGCGGCTGAGTTTCGCATGAGTTGCAGGACACTTTGCTTTATGCAACTCAACTGCAATTTAGTTTCATGTCATGTAGGTTTCAAGCAATTGAAGTTGCATGAAAGTTTCACTGTTTAAAGCTAGCATTAGACACCATTTACACCCAGTCATTATATACGTATTAGACATTAGTGCGAAATTATCTTCCAGTGGAATAAGACACCTTCACTAGCTAAAATGACTTAGAACAAGTAAAAATGTGTAGAAATAAGTGAAATAATCTTAGAATATTCTTAAAACAGTCTAATAAAGAGAAATATTAGATATATTAACTAGATATGAGATGCTTTCACTTGCTTATATATAACTTTTTGCTGTGAACGGCACTGTTAAAACATAAAATTACCCTCTCACTGAATATCTGTATATTTTCTTAGTCTTTCCATAAAGACATGTAATGAGTACCCGGATATTGATTTCAGTATTAAAATACTGGCACCTCGAATGGAAAGTATCCGAGTACCTGTTTACATCCCTGCTACCGTCTTTTGCATATTACAGGAAAAACGCATACAATTACGCATATTTTGTGGTCTGAATTCAATCAGACTAACCAGAGCTGCATTTGAACACCAAGTTGTACATGTGTGTGGTTTAAATGTTAACAGGATTCAGTCCATATATGCATGGAGTGAAATTACGTGGTGTAAACAAGGCCAAAATGCCTGACTTACCAAGATCAAGACGATCTAAATCATCCTGGACCCCATTTACATGTGGTCATTGAACTTAGTACTGTTGTCTCTTTCAGAGCCCAAGAAGAGAAGACTGTTCATGACTTGGAGTCTCTGCTGAACAGCAAGTGTAGGAGCCTTTTACTTCCCTTCTCTATCTGCCCTTTAACCCTTTTTCTTTCACCATCACCACTTCACTTCTGCTTTACTCACAGTAAAACCAAGCCTTCTTTATCTTCCAGTGCCTCTCACTCACTCCCCATTCTTCTTTCTGCAACTGTCATTGTGTACTGCTCCTCTCTGTGTTTGTCCCTGTTTTTTTCCACTGGTATCAAACTGACCCCACAGCTTATCTGAGAGGGCTGTCCAGTTAAAGAGTGGTGAGAAAATACCCACCATGGTGCAGCCGGTGGACGACAACTCGTAACACTGTTTATTTAAAGGGCTCATATTCTACGTTTTTATTGTATTTTATTTGAGGTTCATTCATAACATTTGTCTGGTTTTATGTACACACTTAAAAATGATGGTTCTTCAAGGGTTCTTTGGTAAAGAAAATGGTTCTATATAGAACCATCAACACTTAAAGAGCCCTTTGCATGATTCAAGGGTTCTTTGCATCGTGAAACCATTCTTCAGACTGTACCCTTTTTGCAAAGGGTTCTATTTAGCGCCAAGAGAGTTCTTCTATTCTAACGAGACTGACATTTTGGTGCTACATAACCATCTACAGCACATTCTCCATCAATCTGAAGAGCCCTTCATAATGCAAAGAACCCTTTAATCATGCAAAGGGTTCTTTGCTTGTTCATGGTTCTATCTAGAACCATTTTCTTTACTAAAGAACCCTTGAAGAACCATCATTTTTGAGTGTGTGCCAAAACCAGTCGCAATTCAATTTTACAGGACCTTGACAGGACCAGCCTCTCTTTCCCCCTTAGAATAGGCTGTTCTTGTTACTGTGCCTTTAAGACTGATACATGTAGCTCTGTTCTGATTGGCTGTTCTGCATTGTGCCTCATTTTAAAAGCAGTCTGGGCTGAAACACTCCTTATAACTTCAGTGTTAGTGGGCGGGGCTGAACTGCTGTAGGCGAAACAGCGATATGTGAAAGTGAAGATTTTTGTGACATTGCAAGAAACAGCGAATTCGAAGCAGGATGTTTTTGCAGTTTAGTTTCCATATATGGACTGTATGAACCAGAGAGCGAATGGTATGTTTGAATGGCATTTCCAACATCGTCTCTGCTGAATCTGTATCATACATCCATCCATTTTTGCACGTTTCCCTGTAAAAGAACAAAAAAACTTGTAATAGAAGTAAATGGGCAGGTACTGAAGCTAAAGTAACTGCCTATTGACTTCAATTGTGTTTTGCATTAACAGGTCAAATATTGTCACTGCCAAGAGAAAAACAAGTACTTTACCGGACAGGGCAAAAACCTTCTTAAAAAAACGGATCGTTCCAGTCCTGAAATCTGATTGGCTGAGAAAAATCTGACTGGTTCGAAGCTGTTGTAAAATCTGTTGTAAAATCCACGATATGCCACTCCTATGACCTTTTCACAGCGACTGGACTCTGTATCACTACGCCACGACACGAAAAACCCTTCAGCTGTTAATGGATTAATCTCTGACTCTAATGCTGATCGCACGGAGCACCGAGTGAACTGATGAAGCTAGAACCTGTTTCTGTTTAAACTGAGGGTCTGAAAACTTATTTTCTTATCTAGAACCAGGCTGGTCAGCAACGTCAGAATGTCACCTGAATGTCTTACACACTTCAAATGACTGTGTTTCAGTCAGAAGTAGAATCAAACCCAGGTTGTGTCCCAAACGGCTCCGTGCTCCCTAGCTAAATAGTGAGCTGTGTAACATTAAGCTTAGAAATTCTAGCTTCTGCTGTCAGACAGTGACTGCTTGTCGAGTGTGAATACGGATGAGTCCCAAATGACCATTTTTAGCGATATTTTTCACTGTTGGGTTGCAGGAGTATTTAAACTCCTACGTAGTGCACTATGTAGGGAGCAGGGAGCCGTTTGAGATTCAGCCCCAGCATGAGAAAAGTGGCGTCGTCAGACTGGCAGACTCACAGTGGTAATTTAGTGACCAAAAAGTCCTTATAAACTGAAAGGTTTTGCATTAAACAGTGCTGGGTTATCAGATGTTCACTGTTCAAGCTTTAAAAATCGTCAGTGGTTGCTTAGCAATGATACCGTACTCTAAAGGAACTACATTTCTTGGGGGAATACTTGTTTATGTAGATTATTATTAATAATAACTTAAATAATTACCTAAAACATTGTGCATTTTAATATATTTTATGTTGGCCGCCGTTTTATAAAAGCAATAAGCCACTCGAGGCCGTGGGTCACTGAGGTTTTTTCACGGGGAAGGGAGTTTTAGGGACTCCGCTTGGCGTCGTGCCTAACAACACCCTTCCCGTGATAAAATCAGAGTAACCCACGGCTTCGAGTGGCTTATTGCTTTATTAACTTCTATTGTAAGTTAATGTGAAAAGGCTTTATTCCAAGCAGTTTTGGAGCTTTTCTGTTGGTCCGTTCCTCTTGAAACTTTAACACGATGTAAAAGTGCAGCTGTGGAGCTCAGATTATACTGTGTGCTGAGAAACGACTGTCTGTGGTAACTGGTTATATGCGACAGTTGAAGCAGACAGAGATGAGGCTGGAAAACAGAATAATTACTTTAATTCTGCTTCTACTCTTTTCTTTAACATCCCCCATTCTTTCTTTCCTTCTCTCTCTCTGAGCAGCGGGTCTGCAGGCGTTCCGCTGGTTCCTGCGCTCTGAGTTCAGCGAGGAGAATCTGGCCTTCTGGCTGGCCTGCCAGGACTACAGAAGCTCCCCCGAGAGTAAACTGGCCGAGAAAGCCTCCAGCATCTACACCCAGTTCATCAACCCTGACGCCCCTCAGGAGGTAGGAGAAAAGAGGGTGGGGTTGGGAGGAGGGTGGGAGGTGGGAGGTGGGAGGTGGGAGAGAAGTCTGGACACGTCTCAATTCCACAGTGACGCCTGGATATGGTTCAGTTTCACTGAGGAAAACCAGACTGCACACGTACACAGGTACAAATCTGACTAAAACAAAGGAAATTATTCAGTATTTTCCACTACTGCTTTTCCTTTTTCAGTGTGTTTTTTAAATAATCATAATAAAATAATCAAATCATATTGTGATAAAAAGTGAGAGTCCATGATGAAGTGAATTATGTTTCTAATGAATCGATCACTCAATCAGTCAGTTTTCTGTAACTGATTTCAGGCCTTTGTTTGAATTGCTGAATCAAAAATGAATCAAAAGTATGAACACCCCCAGTAAAATGACGTTTTGTGGATTTTATAAGTGAAAATTAGTTAACACAGAGAGCACACTTAAATATGGCATTTTCCTGCAGTTTTTAGTGTCCAAATTTATTATGTATTTATTTATTTATTTATTTTGCATATTTTAACATATTGGCCTCCTTTGTAATTCTATTTTTTGCATAGTTTAACATGATAAACATGTTCATGATGTGAAACTATGCAAAAAACACACTTTTGCTCAGGACTGTATATCAGTGAGCTCTGTTCTGATTGACTGTGTTGTATTGCGCTTCATTCAGAAAGCAGGGCTGTGAAACACTCCTTACAACTTCAGCATGAATGGGCGGGGCTAAACTGCTGTAGGCCAAATAGGTGGATATATCGCTGTTGTCAGAACAAAACCTTGTATCTCCATTTTTCAGTTTTTGACATAATTTAAAAATACATGTTGTCTTTTACGTTATGGGTGAAGTTCAGGATGAATGGACCAAAGAAAATGACCCAAAATTACTTGGGAAAATGTCTGGTTCCATTGACTTACATTAAAAGTAGAGTATGTTTTTTCCTTCTCCTGTAAAGTCACCATTTTGGAGATACAAGGTTTTTGTTCCTGTTTGTTTTGTTCCTTTTGTTTCTGTAGCTTATTTTCCGTATACAGACTGTATGAACTGGGCAGTGAACAGTAAGTTTTGCTCCTCTAAAGAGGTCAAGCTGGACATCCGTTGAAACTGTGCTGATATTTTTCAGGTGAATCTGGACAGCGAGACCCGGGACGCATTGATGTGTGTGATGGACGAACCGGCTACCAACATGTTCGACGAAGCTCAGCAGCGCATCTACTGCCTGATGGCTAAAGACTCGTTCCCTCGCTTCCTCCGCTCCCCCTACTGCAGGTCCACCCTCAGGGCACTGTGAGACCCCACTCGTCTTCACTTGTGAAGCATTGATTTAAAGATAAAGTTAGCGCTAATACAACTGTGCTAGCATAGGTTAGCTAGGAATTACCATGCAAGTGTTAGCATCACTGTTGAGTGTAGCAAAGATGTCTGTCTGACTTATTGTGTCTGTGCTGTATTAGTAAAGAGATACAAATGCTGAAGTGAAAAATAAATATTTAAAGAAACTGAACTCAATACATGGACTTATTTCTGCACCGTCAAGTTTAATACGCTACTCAGCTAATTCAGATTTTATCCCAGACAATAAGAGTATAATAGTATAGTATAGTATATAGTAGCTAATATATAGTATAGTATAGAGTAGCTAGTATATAGTATAGTATAGTAGTAGCTAGTATTGTATGGTATATAGTATAGTATACAGTAGCTAATATATAGTATATAGTATAGTGTATAGTATAGTATAGCATATAGTAGCTAGTATATAGTATAGTATGTAGTAGCTAGTATATAGGAGCTAGTATAGTATGTAGTAGCTAGTATATAGTATAGGAGCTAGTATAATTCTAGAATACAAGCGTTCTAGAACTGGAAGGTCCAGAACACAGGAGTTCTAGAACTGGAAGGTCCAGAAAACAAGCGTTCTAGAACTGGAAGGATTGGAACACGAGGGTTCTAGAAGTAAGACATGCAGCAAGACAAAGCTGTGTACTTGTCACCAATAGCGTAGCAGTATGCTACCTGCTAACAGAGGGCTGAACAGCAGTGTGTTACACATTCACCAGGCCTGTTTCTGAACATTTGGGGGCCCTAACTGACATCCCACCCGGGCCCACCGAGACTGAATTAAAATATTTCATTTATTTGGGCGGGGGGAACGTCACAAACTTTTAGGGAAATTGATAAACTAAGAGGAACAGGAATATTGATATGAAAACAAACATTAATGCAACCTAAATGTTAAGAAGAGCCATTTTGTCCTTTCAGTAAAAATCAAACCACTTTGGGAGCCACACACTTCATGTCCATTTCACCATCTTGGCTGTAAATATGTCTCAGTATGTGCTGATGTGTTAGTACTGGCCAAAAAACATAATATAAACGAAGACGCAGACTTACTTTGCTCTGCCTTAAGCTTTAGCTCAGCTGTAGCTGCTACTCTCACATCTCTGTCAGGAAACTTTTCCTCAAAAGTTGAACGGTTTCTTGTGAAACGTCTTTCAACGTTCGACTTTTTGTGAGGCTGAAGTCAGTTTTTTGTTCGCCAGCTTCTTGTAATTGTCCCGTTCCACCTAAAGGGGCGTCTGAGGCACCAGAATGTAACTGCTGCACTATTTAAGGTGGAACGGGACAATTAGAACAAGAAGCTGGTGAATGAGAAGCTGACCTGAGCTTTGTGACTTTTTAGTGTTTGACAGTTTCTCGCTGCAGATTAAACATATCAGGAATGAGTGATTATAAACACAAATAAGTCAGTTCGTCTCCAAATTGTCGATGTTTGTCTTAAATCTTTCTCTGTCTTTTCGTTGCTGCTAGCTACGCGAGATTGTTATCTGCGTTGCTATGGTGACCAGCAGTCTGCGCTGATCTTCAGGGTTAAAGGGTGAATCAGCAGCTCTACATGAACTCCAGAGTTTAGGATCATTTACTGTTAAACTGTGTTGATCGATCAGCAGAGCTTTATTTTACTGTAGAGGAGGATTACAGAGCAGTAAAAGAGCCGCATGTTACCGAACCCTGCATTATGGCAACTGGTTGATCATATCCCACACTCCATATGAACAAACTGCACTCACTGCATTCTGAATATGTTCCAGTGGGCAACGTTTATTCCAAAAATCATACAAGCAGATTGTCTTTCAGCAGTGCGGAGGATGTATAAACAGGACAGCCACAGTTCACTGAACTGAAAACTCGCATCCGTCCAGCCGCTTTCAACCAGACTGTATGGCTGCACTGATTCTTCTAGATTTAGACAGATTCATTATATGATTATAACGCAGTGCATTATCAAAATATTCCTTGCAAGATATTAAACCCATGGTGAATTATTCAAGGCCTGCATCATTTGATTTAAATCTGGGTCTTGAGAAGCCTTTTTTGCTCGAAAAGACCACAGAAATGTCTGATATCAGTCAAAAATGTTTTTCAATAATTCCCCTAATTTAGTCTTGGCCCACTCACTAGGCTGCCACGAGCTTCCCCTGAGACACATGAAGAGCCTTCACATATTTATAAACTTTAAATGACATTAAATGTTTATTATTCAGCCCACTGCCCACTGGATTCTATTATTAATGTCTTCTGAGTGAATGTACAGTCTGTTCTTTTCTAAGCTCAGTGATGCACATCAGTATTGCTGTCTGTGGTAATCGACAATGCGATAGAGACATGGCAGAAACAGGTTAGGTTAAAAAACACCAGGGTATTCCTACTGAAGGGAAACTTCAATTTTTCAAAAATTCTGTTCACTGTGGTGGTGATAGGAACCAGACATCTGAAGCAATTAACGGCGCTAAAAGCTCCCTCACAGAAAGTTATTACATGAAATAGTTATAAATACGCCAAGGGACATTATTTTGTAAGAATGTTTTGATATTGTTTCAGGGCAGAGAGGCGAAAACAGCACAAAAAGAAAGCACATTTCATATTTACCACTGCTGTACCATCAACAACATTACATACAAGAACTCACTGGTGGTTTTAGCTAGTAAATCACTGCTGTCACACAAAACCCTTATATGTCCATCTGTTTTTTGCATAACTGGCATCGTGTTCAAATTTCACGATGAACGGACCAACAGCAGTTGTCCAAAAGTACTTGTTCAAAATATTTTAACATTAACTTGCATTCTAACTTAAGTAGATTTTTTGCTTCTCTCGTAAAGTTACCATTTTGGAGAAATGAAATTAATATATTTGCGTTGTAGACATCTTGACCCCTGGTTCCTATCACCACCACTGTAAAGACATCTGAGTCTGTAAGTTTCTCTACAATTAACCATTTCAAATTTCAACCACTAAACAATGCAGAAATTTCGAAAATCAGTGGAGTTTCCCTTTTAACTGACGTGAACAGGTTTCTTCAGTCTGTCAGTTCAGTTCTCCTTTACGCCAATGTCTATTCATGCTTTAGCCACTGCAGCCACCTAGTGGCCACAGATTAAATTACAGGGCACTGAACCAGCTTAAAGTCCACTATGTTTGTTACATTCTGAGAAATTGTGTATGTGCATATAGTAGGGTGTTATTTGGAGGGTCCAGCAGCTGTGCTGGGTTTCGGGGGTCCTCCTGCACCCTCTTTTGCTGGCGGAGTCTTAAGCACGCTCAGTTTCTTGTGTAAGGAGGTGCTGGCCTTCTGAGTGATCTCTTGTTCGATTTTATTCCTGATGGCCACATCCAGGTCCTGCAGCAAACAGCAGAAACGCACACATATTTACAGACAGAACAGCCAGACCTTCTATTCTTACGAGCTCATATCTCTCAGACGCCACAGATTAGGAGCACTTAACAGAGAAATGCTCCATTATAGTGTTAGGCCCAGTCCCGTTTCTTATTTTCACCCCTACCCCTTGTTTTTGAGTGTGACTTTGCCCCTTAGAACTTTACTTGGGGTAGTGGTTGATATCTTCTCTATGAAATGAGACCCTCAAATAAAAAGAGCATCACTTCATTAACAGCTACCAGCGCTGCTCTGTAGGCGACCCTGCCAGTCTGCAGTGACAGCAGAGGAGGGTAAAGTTCAGCTCCTCACTGCTGGGCTTTAGTTACATTTAGGGAATCATATGATCTTCAAAGAGGGGGCAATTATTTATTATCACCCACCCCTAATTCTTCAGTGATATGAAGCTGAAGTCAGTTATCCTCCAGCTTCTTGTTCGAATTTTCCCGTTCCACCTTAAATGGAGCAGCAGTTACATTCTGGAGCCTCAGGCGTCAGAACTGCTGGACTATTTAAGGTGGAACGGGAAATTTAGCTAACTAGCTACTGAGACATCAGCATGCTACTAGGGATTTTTATGCTTGTTATGAAGAAAACAACCAAAATACATTGAAACGCGCAAAACGGAGGGCTAAGGGCTGAGTGGTAGGGGCGAGGGGTGAAATGGGACTGGGCCTAAGAGACATTTTTAAGCTGTTCATGTTTTCTTCACTCAGATAACAACAGAAATGCTGAACCTCAACCTCAGTTACACTCTTACTCTGCCAGGTTTGGTAATATGGGCTAATGTAGTTCCACTTAGGTGTCAGTAATGCGACAAGATTGTGTTTCTACAGCAGACTGTAAAATAATCCATCAAATTCGCCTCTTCTTCACTCTTTATAACGCATTTGCATTTATGGTATTTACGTGTGAATGGTGTGAAGCAAAACATGCTAGTATAGTTCATACTATAATTAAAATCAGGATCCATATTTAGATCTAAATGGGGAATTTTTCAAATCTGAAAAAAGGTTCTGCATAATTAAGTCATGTCAACAAAGTCAGTCAGAGTGGTTTGGTGTGAAATGTTAAGTTCTAGAAAAACTTGCAGAATCAGAACCGTTCACAGTGGTGGTGATGGGAACCAGACGGCTTTAATGCCTTTAAAAGCTCCATCACAGAAAAATATTACATGAAATAGTTATGAATTCACTGTCTGACGTCTGAGACTTTCCTGATAACTCAGAGAAGATCTTGGCCTGAAAATATATATATTTTAAAAACACATTAATGGTGGGGATGTGCAGGCACAGTGTTGTGATGGCAAAACCGTCTTGGAAGAAAAGGAATTTTTTTTTATTTTTCCATCATCAACATTACAGATAAACACTCAGTAGACTTTGTGGGTTCACTGGTGGTTTTGGATAGTAAATAAAATGGCTGTATTTGTGTTGTAGACATTGTGACGTCTGGTTCCCATCACCACCACTGTAAAGACATCTGAACCATTTCACACCAAACCACTCTGAACGACTCTGTTTACATCTCAAGGGCTCATGTGCATGAATTTTGAAAAACAGGTGGGATTCCACTTTCAGTGGAGAGACTTAGAGAGTACTGTGTGTGGAAATCAGTCCGATCTGACAGCAGTATGTGGTGTTGATGTCAGAAGTGTCAGTGTCCCATTGGTCACTGGACTGGAGAACTTGCCTTCTTTAGCTTCTGCTGCTGAACAACTTTTGCTTTCTTGGGTGCGATGATCCTCCCTGAGTGGAATAAAACACACAAGAACAGGAAAAAATGCTTTTACTGCTTCAAGAACGTTTCATTAGAAGTGTGATTTATTTTCTAAAAGATGTATTTATTTCTTCACCTTTTACTTTTAGCGATACTCTTCATATTCCTTGATGATGATGTATTAATGCATTCGGTTCAATCATATTCCTGATTACACTGCTAACACTGCTTTTTTCTTTTCTTTCCTTTTTTCTACTTCTATCCTTCTACCAAGTTTACATCGCCTGCTTTGTAAGTCCTGTTTTGTTATAACAAACAAATAATTTTTAAAAAAAAAGAGGTGAAGAGCTGGAAAAGAAAAAAAAGGAGGAAAAGAAAAAAAACTGCAGGAACTAAAGGAAGGAAACTAAGCTACACAGTATGACGTGAAGCTTTGCTTGGATGTAGCCTCACGAAGCTGGAGCTGATCTGCTGATGAAACTCTGACTCACCTGTTTTCAGTGTGAGAGAACGAACGACTTCTGGTCCAACTGAAGTGCTCACATTTTTAACCCTGTCAGAATGACTCTTTCCTTTACTCTCAGAGATGATCTGTTACTACAGTAACTTTATGAACAAGTCTCTCGAGTATATTGTTCATTTTTTCATTCTACATGATAAATTCTTTTCATAAACAGACATTTTCAAATTCTCAGCCCACCCCGTCCCTCTTTTAGTGGACTTTAAATCACTACGCCAGTCCTTACATCCTGTAGAAACTCTGAATTTCTATGAGCAGTTTTATGGAGAGACACTTACCTGGCTTTCCTCTTGTGTGTGTGTGAGAGAGAGAGAAAGAGGGAATGAGAGAGTGTGTATGTATATGTGTATGCGTGTGTTTATATATGTGTATGCGCGTGTTTGTGTGTGTGTGTATGCATCCTACTGTACTGTATTCCTATATGGGGTCTGATAATGTACTGATCCGCCATTGGTTGTATATTCTGTAGTGAAGCTGAGTCTCTGTGTGTGTGTGTGTGTGTGTGTGTGAATGTGTATGTATGTGTGTATATATGTGTGTGTGTGTGTACATGTGTCTGGGTATGTGTGTGTGTGTGTGTGTGTACATGTGTCTGGGTATGTGTGTGTGTGTGTGTGTGTGTGTATGTATGTGTGTGTACATGTGTCTGTGTGTATATGTGTATGTGTGTGTACATGTGTCTGGGTATGTGTGTGTGTGTGTGTGTATGTATGTGTGTGTACATGTGTCTGTGTGTATATGTGTAGTATGTGTGGTGGTGTGTATGTGTGTACATGTGTCGTGTGTATATGTGTATGTATGTGTGTGTGTATGTATGTGTGTGTACATGTGTCTGTGTGTATATGTGTATGTATGTGTGTGTGTGATGTGTGTGTGTGTACATGTGTCTGTGTGTATATGTGTATGTATATATGTGTGTGTGTGTGTGTGTGTGTGTCTGTATATCTGTGTGTGTGTCTGTGTCTGTATCTGTGTGTGTGTATGTATATGTGTGTGTGTGTCTATGTATATGTGTGTGTGTGTGTGTGTGTGTGTGTGTGTGTGTGTGTGTGTGTACTGATCCGCCGTTGGTTGTCTATTTTCGTATATTCTTTAGCGAAGCTGAGGTCGGCTTGTTTTTCGAATTAGCCGTTCCACCTTAACTGCTGCACCATTTAAGGTGGAACGGAAAATTCGAACAACAAGCTCCGGCCTCCTAATGAAGCTCCAGTAAAAGGACAGGGCACCGTCCAGCTCGGTTTTCCGCTGTTATATTTACAGTAACGCCAGTAAAGGGTCCCGTTTTCGGTCCACGCGGGTTCAACCTGACCACGCGCTGCCCTGTCCCCTCACGGCGGAGCCTTTTTCCCGTGTTAACCCGGCGCTCTGCTGCGGGCTAACCGCTCCTCCTCACCTCCTTTCTTCAGTCCTTTGGGTCTGTGCTGCTGTTTTCTGGCTCCTCCGGGTCGCTGCGCCTTAAACTTCAGCTTGCCCTGCGCCATCGCGAACGGAAACGAGGAGCTCGGAGTATAGAAACCAAAATAAAAGCTTAAAACAGAATAAAAGTCCCGCCCCACTGGCTGTGTTCCCAACCTCAATCTGCTCGACTAGATAAACAGGGCGCTAAATATACAGTGACAGTCAAGAAGTGTTGCTCACATGTCCGCACTGGTGTTTAGCGTCTGTTCAGTTATATTTCTTATATTTTTCCCCCTAAATTTCTGCATAATTCAGTGTTTGAGATGTTACAGTCATTCAGAGCGGTTTGGTGTGAAATGGTTCACTGTAGGAAAACAAGGAGTCACAATGCATTTTACTTACTATCCAAAACCACCAGTGAACCCACAGGTGTCTTGTGAGTGTTTGTATGTAGGTTAGATGATGGGAGAACGGCGATAAATCTGGGGAAGTGTGTATATGTACACATTTACACAAAAAAGGGCCACAAATGGCAAAACATTAAGCTTTTAATGGCCTTCACAAATCATTAAACAGGTAAAGTCACTTGATATGGGATATTTTTCCCTTTGATTTCATTAAATGTAAAGTTTAATGTGTAAATTTGTAGACAATCTTTTACAGAAAGAAGAGTCAGTATTTTTCCACTCAGCATTGATGGCTTCAAACTGTTAAAAAACCAAGCTACTTTGTGTTTAATGTGAGACCAAATATTCTCTATAGGGTTTAGATCTGGACTCTGACCAGCCCAAGACCATCAGCAAAAAACAGTATACATTATATTTCGGGCTTGGACCTTTTTTTGCCCAGGAGAGAGAGAGGTGTGTGTGTGTGTGTGTGTGTGTGTATGTATATGTATATCTATATATCTATCTATCTCTCTCTCTCTCTCTCTCTCTCTATATATATATATATATATATATATATATATATATATATATATATATATATATATACGGCCTTACATCTCACACACGACTGGATTTTAAAAACAAACTGTAACTGTAACAAAACTGTATCATCAGACTACCGTAAAACAGCATCTCAGCCATCAGGCAGTGAATTCGTAACCATTTCATGTAATATCTTTCTGTGATGGACCTTTTAGAGGCATTAAACTCTTCAGACGTCTGGTTCCCATCACCACCACTGTGAACAACTCTGTAAGCTTCTCAAGAACAGAGTATTATAATGCTAAATAGTCCCCAAATAAACATTTTTTTTTCCAGATTTAGCTCTATTTTACAATCAACAAATTCACAGATAAAAATCTTACAAGACAGGTTCACTGGTGGTTTAGCAAAGTAAATAAAATGTCTGTATCTGTGTTGTAGGCATTGTGACGTCTGGTTCCTATCAGCACCACTGTAAAGAAATCAGAGTCTCTACAACAAACCACTCAGAATGACTATCTTATTTCATTATGCAGAAAGTTTGAAAAATTGTCCCCCTTTAAATTTACAAAACAATAATGATTTTTTTGTAAATATCAGCAACAACAGCGCGTAGCTACTGTACAGTGTTATTATACAAAGGATTTTAACCGTAGTCCTGTAAACCGATCCAGTCTGTGTGCCGGTACGGAATAAAGAGTCGACACCAGTTTGGACTTTTCCACACAGTGGCTTTTTATTTAAGTCACTTCGCAGTCCTCCTGTTTTAAAACATGCCTCAAAAACTCTCCTGTTAGAACTGCTTTTCTGTCCAGCAGCAACAAACTGGCCAATACCCCCAACCCACCCGCGCACACACACAGGCAGCTGTTAGCAGCTGTACTCAACCTGCACACAGCTGTAAGTGAGGAATCTTTGATATGAAATCAAAAGTAGGCACTTTTGAACAAGACAGCACTGCAGTTTGACCCCAGGTGACCCCTGACACTCGCACTGCCTTTCCTAATGCCAAAAACAACAACAACAACAAAAAACACAAAACAGAACAGGAAAGAAAATAAAACCTCTATAACTCAGAAATACAAACGACAGGAAATAAGAACACACCTGTGCCACTGTCTGACCAATTCAATGCTTTTACCGTTACCCACCCGCTAATCTGACTGCATGAAAAGCCTTAATTCAGCTTTTTTAACGTAAGTTAACCTGACTGAACTGCCAACATTAACAGAGCGGAATAATCAGGATATTACATAATATTATCTTATTAGAAGTTTAATTAAATCCAAATGTCAGGGCAGCCAGGTTAACTTACTTTCAAGGGGAACTCCACTGATTTTTCCAAATTTCTGCAATTATTCAGTGGTTGAAATATAAATGGGTGGTTTGGTGTGAAATGGTTCATTACAGAGAAACTTACAGCCTCAGATTTTTTTTTTTTTACAGTGGTGGTGATGGGAACCAGGGGTCACATTTCTTCTTACGGCACCCAGCAACATACCTCTTTGTCATGAATAGCGTTTTAGCCGTTATGTCTCAGCCATCAAGCAATGTATTCATAACCATTTCATGTAATAACTTTCTGTGAAGGAGCTTTTACAGGCACTAAACTCTTCAGACGTCTGGTTCCCATCACCACCACTGTAAACATTTCTGAGTCTGTAAGTTTCAGCATTTCACACCAAACCACTCTGAATGACTTTGTTTACATCTTAAATATTTAATAACGCAGAAATTTGAAAAACTGGTGGAATTCTCCTTTAAGATATCAGATCTGATTTATTACGCTGTGGCTTTGGTCCTGGCTTTTTCATTAGTGCGGTTTAGCTACTCAAGGTTGGTGCGTTATGTTTACATAACAGACAAATCGCAATCTGACAAATCGCTTGTGCCACTAATGGGGCTGCACATTAGTTCATCATTATTACTCATTATTACAATATCGGAGTGTCAATACTGAAATCATAACAGGCTGCAGTACGCAAAAGGCCCTCTAACCAATCACAGTGTTTATTCCTGACCAATCACAGCTCTGCATGAGTTAGTGTTTTGATGAATTCACGCAGTCCAACAAAAGACGATAAATTTGGTCAAAATAACAACAATAAAGCAGGTTTATCTTTACCCATGATCCATTACTGATCCATCATAACTGCAGTAAGGAGCCTCAGAATCACTATATGGGATTTTGTCCCCATCATGCAGCCCTAGTCAATAATAATGCATGAAAGCTGGTAGCAGGTGATTGATTAAGGTATTTTATAGCTGGACAGGGAATGAAGCTCTAATTGATTTAATCTTTCCTAACAGATCAGAGACTTATTTCTGTCAACAATGGAATATAAGGAGTCATAATTACAGTACAAGTGTAATAATGCATTTAATGTTAAGGAGACTCAACTGCATCAATTTCAGGATTTTAGAATTGATTATAGCTGATTATGATGATATTCAATCAAATATGCACTCCTATGTTGGCCAAAGTGAAATTCTCAGAATATTTTAAAATATAAAAAATAGTGTCTTTTTCCACTACGTTTGAGATTTATATATTTCATCACGTTTCTTCCCAGTGAATCAAAACTCATTCAAACCATGATGAAATTTGAGGTTTCATGTAACATTGAATTGCTTCCTAATGAACTGTGAACCAAATCAGGGTGAAATCTGAAACGTCACATTAAAACGCTTTCTAAAGAATCTGAACCGAATGGTGAAGTCTGAGGATTTATGATACACTGAATCATTTACAAAAGAATCATAACTGAATCAAATCATGGTGAAAGCTGGAATTTCATGATACACTGGATAATTTCTTTACGCATCAGAATCGACTCGAATAACGTACGAGTTCACATGCACTTAATAATCTGGTAACTGCGAAAATCGGATTTTGTCTAATCCGTTCACATGCATATACGCAATCAGATAACGGGGAAACTCCGGGTCTACATGAGCCAGACAGTGATAGGAATTCTGCTTTACAACCAACCAATAAACTCACAGAATAAGATGTGATGTAGATGTATAGTAAAACTCAAATGTCATTCTTTTTTTTTTTTTAAACATCGAGTCACTTCAGCGAAAAATATGAATATACATCATCTAGAAGAAGAATAATGTTCAAACTCTTAATTCCATTGCGTTGGTTTCAGCTTTGCTCCAAAAGTGTTTTGTTGCCATCTCATGGGTGCTGTGTTAAGTGCTGCTTGCTGTTCTTGCTCATGCGCAGACTGAGAAAAACGAAAGAAATCAGAGTAAGAGTTCACATGCACTGAAACACCTGATTACTGAGCTAAAATCCAGCTCTTTTTATTGGATTTCTTAATCGAATTTCTAGGCTTTACTCTGATCTAAGAAATTGGAGTATGCTGTTTACATGACCACTTGAATAATCAGATAATGATCAGATCATTAAGTGCATGTAAACACACTCAGTGGCGAAATTTAAATTTGATTATTTACACTGAATTTTGTCAAACAACTAGAAAAGAATCGAAATGTATTGAAATTTGAGATTTCATGATTCTCCTTGAATTGCTTCCTAAAGAACTGAAATCAAACTGAATCGCATCCTGGAGAGTTAATCAAATCAAATCTTTACGAGGTCAGAGAATGACAAGCCATCAACACAGCATCACACGTCATTCTGAAGTGCAACAGTTTAAAAAGTGACAGGCAGAGAATTTTCTCTAAAAATACTGGGACTGTTAAAAAGGTCATATTGGTGATGGAAAAACAGCAGATGTAAAGAGCCATTCTGAACCAATGTCGCCCAGCTCTAACGCTGATCTCACTCTTCCTGAAAAACTCTTCCTTTTAGCCTTTTTCTCAGTGGCCGTGAGGTTTTAAGACAATAAGAGAACAGATAAAAACTTAGCAAAACCAACCTGTTCGTAGAAAATAAGAACAAAATAAGTTATCCAGTTTTAAGTTTTCAAACCCAACGAGCAGCTCACTCTTGCTGCATTGCATCCCCTGAAATTTCTTCATATATAAATGTCAAGAAAATCATAATTTATTCTGTTTCATTCAATAACAATAATAATAGTAGTAGTAATAATAATCATCTGACAGAATTGCACACAAGTGGAGAGTCGTGCTGGGTTGACAGCACGTGAGGAGGCACTGAGCTTTAGCCCGAAACTGATTGAAACTGAAAAAGTTCCCACCATAGAGTTCCCCTGCTAATGATTAAAGGAATACACCAGTGTTTTTCAACCTAATCTCTGTGTGACACATCGAAAGCATACGGTCAGTTACCATGGACAATAATGTCCCTGCACTTATAAAAGAGCACAGAACGCCTTGACCCGAAACGCGTTTATAACAGAAGCTAATGGGCAGACACTGAAATAGAAAAAGTTCTCAAGAAATGGCAAATTGGGTTCTATTAGAAGTAGGTACTATAGCAGCTGCCCATTAGGTTCTATGTAGTCCTCAGGGAACTGCCCACTGGCTTCCATTGTAAGTATGTTCTCTAGAAACTGCCCCTTGACTTCTATTGTATGTTCTCTAGAAACTGCCCCTTGACTTCTATTGTATGTTCTCTAGGAACTGCCCCTTGGCTCTCATTGTAAGTAGATACTATAGCAACTGCCTATTGGGTTCTAAAGCAACTGCCCACTGGCTTCCATTGTAAGTATGTTCTTAAGAAACTGGCCAATTGGCTTTTGTTATAAGCAGGTACTGTAGCAACTGTCCACTGGGTTTTTTTTTTTAAGTATGTTCTCATGAAACTGCCCACTGGCTTCTATTATAAAGTAGGTACTATAGCAGCTGCCCATTAGGTTCTAAGCAGTCCTCAAGAAACTGCCCATTGGCTTCCATTGTAAGGATGTTCTCCCGGAACTGCCCCTTGGCTCTCATTATAAGTAGATACTATAGGAAATGCCTGTTGGGTTCTAGAGCAACTGCCCACTGGCTTCCATTGTATGTATGTTCTCAAGGAACTGCCCATTGGCTCTCATTATAAGTAGATAATATAGCAACTACCTATTGGGTTCTAAAGCAAGTGCCCACTGGTTTCTATTGTATGCATGTTCTCAAGAAACTGGCCCATTGGCTTCGGTTATAAGCAGGTACTGTTGCAGCTGCCCATTAGGTTCTAAGCAGTCCTCAAGAAACTGCCCATTGGCTTCCATTGTAAGTATGTTCTCCAGGAACTGCCCCTTGGCTCTCATTATAAGTAGATACTACAGGAAATGCCAACTGGGTTCTAGAGCAACTGCCCACTGGTTTCTATTGTATGTACGGTCTCCAGAAACTGGCCCATTGGCTTCTACTATAAACGCCTTTGAATCAACAGGTTTTCTCTTCTTTTCTGAGTTGGGTTGAAATCATTGTTTGCTGTAGTTTATGCTGCAGGCAAAAAGAGATCAGGTTGAAAAACACCAGAGTACTCCTTTAACCACACTTAGCTTATCCTGATCTGGTCCCCCAAAGGCTGACCCCTGCTGTGCCCTTCTGTAGATAAAGTAGACGAGGTTTTACGCCACCACCACCAAACGTTTTCAGTTCCAGGGGCCGTCCCATTTTCTCTAGCCCAGGGAGGTGCACTCTTTTTGGGGCAGGAAGCTGCCGGAGCGCAGGCGAGCGTCTGGATAAGGAGGTAAAAAGTGTTTTTGTTTTCTTCAGTATCTGACAAAAGTTTGGTTCCCCCCCAAAAGAGCGTTCACTTCCCTCTTTCTGTAGGGCCTCAGACCTCAGTTCCTTCAGGGAGAAGCAGGAGGAAGAAGGAGGGGCAGTTCGCCATGGCGACAGAGGAGGTGCAAAGGCCCTTAATGGCCTCATTGTGGGTCATCACCTCTTCTGCTCCCAGATCTCTGGCATGTTTAAGTCCAAACGCTCTAGCGAGCGCAGTGCCTGAACGTTCTCTGTGTAGAAAGCCACGTCCACCACCACCAGCCTGTAGATGGGGGAGGAGAGAGTTCATGAACCATGTAATCTGGTGACATTTTGACTAACAACACACGAATGAATGGACCAATCCAAGCTCTGTGCACTAGCTTTACAGAGCATCGGTAAAAATCCCATTCAACATACTGAAAAACTGTAGTACAGAGTTTTTGTCTTAATATATAAATTTACAGTATATTATTCATTTGATATTTATTTTGTATGCATGTTAAAGAAGCAGTGAGTGAGATTTAGGGGGATCTATTAGCAGAAATGGAATATAGTCTTCAACTATGAATCGTTGGGTTTCGGTTAGCCTGGAATGAGCCATTCATATCTACATAGAAGCGGGTCTTCTGCCAACATTCTGCACCACCATGTTTCTACAGCGGCCCAGAACGGACAAACCAACCACTGGCTCTGGAGAGCACCTTTCATGTTTTTCTGTTGAAGTGGCTGCTGGTGCTGGTGCTGTTGTGAGAAGTGTAAAAACCCAATTATTGACAAATAGAGGATCGTACTTATTATTTAGCACAAGAAAAAGCGAGCGAGGGTGAATTCTCGTCATCAAAGAAGCAAAAACATGAAGGAGCAAAACTAAATCTGGACAGGTGATGGCAGAAGACATGACAGCCACTGTAGGTTCTGCTACACGCTTGGAAAGGGAGGGGTGAGGGAGGCGGATTCAGTGGGTTGCAATCTGCAACATCACCACTAGATGCCACTAAATATTACATACTGCACCTTTAAAGGTCGAACTGTTAGGATGTATCAGGTGTAGTTCTTCTGATGTGACTGAGGTTTTTAGGGATGAACATCTGCTTCACAGGCAATGTATCATTTGGAATTCATTTTTAACTCACCCGTGCTGCGGACCACCATCGTTTATGACCCCCAACCGAGATAGCTGCCTCTTCAGGTGCATCTTAAAGCTCGCATTGATCCGCAGAAACAACATCTACACATACAAGCACGGGATCAGAAAAGCACCCTAATGGCACATACTTGTTAAATGTATATGTATGAGGGGATGTTACGTCTGTTCTGCTATGACTTTGCCTGTTAATAGACCTACCTGTGTCTGCTCCTCAGGTAGGAGATCATAAATAGCCTCATGCATCTTGGCCATTTGTTTGCAGACATTACGGAAACACAGCGATGGCATCGGAGCTTTTACTTCATACTGCAAGAAACAAAGCATCATTAAACCGGAATTCCAGTTATATTTTTACAATAAAAGGCTAGGATGTAAACAAAGCCATGCTCTGTTCGAGAGAAACTTTGAGTCAGAACTGTTCACAGTGGTGGTGATGGGAACCAGACGTCTGAAGAGTTTAATACCTCTAAAACTCCCTCACAGAAAGTTATTATGTTAAATGGTTCTGAATACGCTGCCTGATGTCTGAGACAATGTTTCATGATAGGCAGTAGAATGGGTCGTACCGATGAGCTCAGTGACTCAACATGGCTGTTTTCTAGGACGCCACCTTAGTCCTAAATTAATTCATGACATTTCTGTGTCGGTAGGTCTGCCCCTGTCAAGTGTAAGTGCTACTGTTGTGAAATGGAAGTGTCTAGGGGCAACAATAACTCAGCCACAAAGCAGCAGCCCACGCAAACTCACAGAGTGAAGCCAATGAGCCCTGAAGTGCACAGCATGTATAAATTGCCCGTCACTCACTACAGAGTTCCAAACCGCCTCTAGAAGCAACATCAGCACGAGAACTGTGAATCAGGAGCTTCATGAAATGGGTTTCCAATCCTGAGCAGCTTCACACAAGCCTAAGATTATATGTGCATAGTCTAGCGCATGCCAATACTCGACTCTGGAACAGTGGGCACATGTTTTTGGAGTGATGGGTCACGCTTCACTATCTGGAAGTCTGATGGACGAATCTGGGTTTGGTGGATGCCAGGAGAACGCTGCCTACCGGAATACACAGCACCAACAGTAAAGTTTGGTGGAGGAGTGATAATGGGCTGGGGCTGTTTTTCAGAGTTTGGGCCCCTCAGTTCCAGTGAAGGGTGATGTTATGGCTACAGAATACAAAAACATTTTAGACAATTATATGATTCCACCTTTGTGGTAACGGTTTGGGAAATGTCCTTTCCTGTTTCAGCATCACTGAGCCCCTGTGCACAAAGGGAGGCCCATAAAGACATGGTTTAGTGAGTTTGGTGTGGAGGAACTCCAGTGGCCTGCACAGAGCCCTGACCTCAACCCCACTGAACACCTTTGGGATGAACTGGAACATCAACTGTGAGTCAGGCGGTGCAACACCATATTAATGTCCATGGCTTTGGAAAGGGATGTCCAACAAGCTTATGTAGGTGTGATGGTCAAGTGTCCACATACTTTCGGCCATTCAGTGCACATGCACGGCATTAAGGCAAAATAGTCCCCAAAGAAAACCTTTCAGAATTATCTCTATTTTACCATCATCAGCTTTACTTATAAAAACTCAGAAGACTTGTGTAGGTTTGGTTTTGGATAGTAAATAAAGTGTCTATATCTGTGTTGTAGACACTGTGACCCCTGGTTCCCATCACCACCACTGTAAAGAGATCTGAGTCGGTAAGTTTCTCCAGAATTAACAATTTCACATCAAACCACTCTGAATGACTTTGTTTACATATCAACCACTGAATTATGCAGAAATTCGTTACGTACTGAAGACGTATGGTGCTTCTTTACATTTGTACTGGAGCTAAAAGGCTAACGTGGCTACTGAGCTAATTAGCACGGTGCTAACTGCAAGTCTAAATCACCACAGACTGGTGTCAAACTGTGTGGAGTTGTTCAGTGATCTCTAACAGACTTGCTTATGGTTTCTGACACTGTAGAACATTACATCATCTATAAACATGGACTAAAGGACATTAGCACAGCTAAAAACAGCAGCCAGTAGCCCGAAGCCAGCTCGAAGGCTGCATTTTGTCTGTTTCTTCATCAAGTCATACTTTCAACCCAAGTGAAAAGCGCTTTTTTACCTTGGACAGAACTTTCTCGAACAGACCGTCCATGATGGCCACCAGTTTAGCCGAAATCTCAGCAATGTGGTCATTATAATCCTACACACGAAAATAAACACATATCAGGCTAATTCGTAACAACACTTCATTCAAGCATTAGCACTGTTTGGTAGAACTTCCTCTTTACTGCTTCACATTTCTCACTTTAAAGCTTTATTACTTTATTTTAGACTGAAGGGATCCAGAAAGCAAAGAACAGAGTCTAACAAACATGTCCTGTGCTGATACATGCTTAATGTACTAGGAAACTCTGAGTTACTCAATACTTAAGATGTTTATTTTAACCTGAGTAATTATAGCTGCATGCAGACGTCTGAACACTCCTCGTGAAATGATGTTCTGTTAGTTTTCTACGTGACACATCCTCTACAGAGAACACACTTAAGTATGGTAATTTTCTGCAAATTTTACTGCACAGTTTCTATTTATTTGCTGAATTTAACATATGATGTAAATATAAAAATGTTCCATAACGTTTACACAGGCCACAGTTTATACTTTATTATTTTTTCCAACGTCAAACTCAGCAACTGAACAGTAAATGTGCATTAAATTGTGCAGATGTGCGTCCTCTTTAGAGGATGTGTTCACTTATTTTCACTTAGAAAATCATCAAAAACAACTGTATTTTAACATGTTTAACCACCAGGAGGCACTGCAGGAAACTATTCAGTGACAATGTTTCTCCAAATTATAAAACGTGGTTTTAAAACGAGTCAAATTAGACCTTTAAACAACTACATTTTTCAAACATTTTGTAATTTTTTCCCCAAAATGCACGATACTGTCTGTCAGGACATTGTAAGATCTAATCTAATGATTTATCGAGAACATAAAGAAAAACAGACATTAGTGGGGACCAAATTTTATCCAGCATATATTCTGTGTTGAGACAGTGGGTGAATGTGCGTGTTTACCTTGGTGATATGGTCGAAGTGGCGCAGGACACTGTACTGTTTGGGCTGCAGTTTGGTCTCAAAGTGAGCTCTGATGATGGGGATGTAGTGAACAACAAGCTGCAGACAGCGAGACACCAGAGCTGAAGGAGTCAGAGAGAAAGAGAGAGAGATGAGCAGAGAAGGAAGGTGATTGTAGGTATATTTTTCAGAAATATTAACTAGTTTGTAAAACAAAACATTAGATTTTTTCCTTTTTAATACCTTTTTATGCCAAAAGGGTCCAAATCCTAGATTTTTCTTGTATTTTATTTATTTTTCAGCCTTAAAGTTCACTTTTGACATCTGTTATTTGTTTTTGTAATTAATTTTTACACAGACTCTAATTATCCCTTAGAAATAAACAGGCTGTTTTTGTTACTGTGCCTTTAAGACTAAGATATGTAAATGAACTCTGTTCTGATTAATTCAGAAAGCAGTCCAGACTGAAACACTCTTTATAACTTCAGGGTGAGTGGGCGGGGCTAAACAGCTGTAGGCTGAATAGGCGGGTATATGCAATGTGTCAGTTTTTGTGAAATCCCAAAAGCAACGAATTTAAAATAGACCTCCTCAGTTTCCATATATGGATGGTATGGACTCAGCAGTGAATGACACGTTTATGAAGCTTTAACTGTTTACATACTACATCAAACTCTTTAACTAAAAGAAAAAAAAGGGGAGAAAATCAGTTTTTTTCATGAAATAAGTAACTAAATTCAGAGTAACAAACAAAAATATGTGACATTAAATTGTTTTAATAACAATAACAGTCAAAGGCTCATGGTGAGTCATAGAAACATATTCTGTTGCTGCTTTACGGCACTTTTTTATTGGTTTCAAACTGGTTTGGTGCAAAAGTTTGTTTAGGTTGTGTGTTCTTGATGGTGACAGCGACTGCACAGACCTCCAAAGTCATGTCGTCATTCTGTAGTTGGTGTCATTTCCTTATTAAAAACTCTGAAGTTAAGCTGCTTTTCTGAATAAGAAAATGAACTGCATTTTAAAAAATACATGCTGTTGCATCTCATGGTAAACAAAAATGCCCCAAAGCTGATGTGTTTTGCCGTATGTACACTTTTCATTTATACATCACCAGATCCTCCGAATTACGATATTGGTAAAGAGCAGAAATATGAATATTACAACATGCAAGCTAACACTGAGTGAGTGAGCACTTAATAATCCGATCATAATATCTGATTATTCAAGTGGGCATGTAAACAGCATACTCTGATTTCTTAGCAGGGTCGCCGCGAGACGCAGCAAAACACTCTAGGAGCGACGCTGAAACCAAATACATGCTTGACGAAATGAAGGAGTTAAATATTCTTCATCTTCGAGATGATGCGTGTTCACAGTTTCAGGTAAAGTGGTGCGATGTTCAGCCGCAACATGAAGTTTGAGTTTTACATTAGTATGTCACGTCGTCTTCCTCTGTGAGTTTATTGGCTGGACGTAAAGCAGAAATCTGATTACTGCCTGACTCATGTAGACCTGGAGTTTCCCCCATTATCTGATTACTCATGCATGTAAATGTGTTGATCAGATTACTGAGAAAATCTGATTTTATCTGCAGTTATCAGATCATTGCATCAGTGCATGTAAAGGCACTCACTGCTGCACACTGAACTGACGTCCTAAGACTAGCAACCTCAGCACGACACCCCACACAAACCAGCAAGCTTTGATAAGTGTGCTTGCTAAGTTGCGGTTGTAGGCTACAGCTGGAGCAGCTGGAGTTTCACTCCTTACTCTCCTGTTAGCCTAGCTTGTAGCATTATTCATATTTTCAGTGCTAAACAACCTCATAATGCAGAGGATCCAGTGAGACTGGATTTTTTTCACCACAGGACACGACAGCAGTGATTTTCCAAAATGCCATTCATTTTTCCCCACAGAGAAAAAAAACAGTTTAGATTTGGACTTCCTTATATGGGCACACCAGTGACTTGAGAAGGCTGTGTTTGTGTGCTGATTACCCAGGTTCTTAGTAGTGATGGTTTTGAGCCCCACCACCTGCAGAGCTCCGGCCCCCAACACCAGCTGACAGCTCCGCGAGTTGAAGTGCTGTTGCCATGGAAAAGAAAACAGCAGCGTCATAATGAACAGAATGTCGACTCACGTCAAAATGAAACGAGCAAGAGAAGTTAAATCGAGCTCCTTTAGAGCAGCGCTGCCAAAAATCGTGGCCCGCAGGGAAAAGTCCCAGGCCTGCAGGGACGTTTGATTTCTTCCCACCAGAAAGCTGACGTAACCCCCCCCAAGACCACTCAGTGAGGGGACATGTTTTATCATTTTAATGTATCATCCAGTGAGAGAATATACTTTAAGGTAGGGCTGCAACTAACGGTTATTTTCACTGTCGATTAATCTGTTGATTGTTTTTTCGATTGATCGATCAGCTGTTCGGCCTATAAAATGTCAGAAAATGATCAAAAGTGTCGATCAGTGTTTTCCAAAGTCCAAGACGGCGTCCATAAATGTCTTTTTTTTTGTCCACAGCCCAAAGATATTCAGTTTGGTGTCACAGAGGAGTAAAGAAACCAGAAAATATTCCAATTTAAGAAGCAGGAATCAGCATTATTACCTTTTTTCTTAAAAAAAAAAAAATTCGATTTATCGATTATGAAAGTAGCTGCCGATTAATTTAATAGGCGACAACTAATCGATTAATCGATTAACTGTTGCAGCTCTACTTTAAGGTTAGTTAAACAGGCCAATTTTTTTTTCACAAAAACTTAAATTCATGTGCAGAAGAGTGTCTCTGTACGGGATGTGTAAACTCATTTTTCTTTACATTTCTGCCAAAATTTTCAGCTGAAATGGCTGAAATTTTTGTGTATCCATATTAAAAATTATGCAGGTTAGCTTCTCTACTCTGTGTTTGATATGTTCTTTGTTCTTTCATGCACATACATATCATCTCACTCACCTTGAGGAGGTCTGAGAGGCGTGTGAGCATGTCCGTGGTGATGGACGGGATGTCATTCACACACTGGCAGTATTCCAGAAAGATCCGGATCAGCAGCAGCACCGTCCTGACACAATGGAACAACGGGGAAAGGTCAGCATTCAGGACCATGAGAAAAATCAGACATGAACACAGACGCTTCCTCTTTCACTTCCAGGTTTCAGTCTGGACTAAAACTTTTAAAGCACTTAACATGCTATTCATCATGTTCTGCAGCATCACTCTGCATGAGTTTGACAGAACCCACAAACTGTGCTGCAGTCGGGTGTAAATGCCAAATATTGATTTTTTTTTTTTCTTAGCTGTTTCTGTAATTTGACTTCTGAATAGCTGTCTTTAAGCATACATACTTACATTTTTATTCCAAGACACCTCACAAGTCAAGGAGAGGAAAAACATAACACACAGTTTCATTGACCACAATGTAACTGGTCAATTCCTTGATTTTCCCATTAGTTAAATGGGACTTTTCCCAGCCTCCTGTAAAGTATATCTGACGTACCAAGAGTTGCTACTACAGAAAACGTCTGTGGGTGGAGTCAACTGAGGAGTTTTGCCAGGAAACTCACCCGACGACGGCATATTTCTGCCCTGTCAACCAGCAGGAAATCACTGGGCTTCTTGTCCTCTGTACCTGCAAAGAAGTCAACAGTCGATGAGTGAACAGTTTATCGATCCATGCCCGTCCAGCAACGTGACACACCGCTTATCTGAGCACTAAACTCTGTTTATATGATCTGAGATTAGGAGATTGTTGTAGATAATGGCAGGTAGATGTTGCAGACCAAGCTATATTAGAGTGTCCTGGGTGAGGTGTAAGTCAGGTGCACCTGTGTTTGTGTGCGATTGTGCATGTTTATTGTGCATGTTTATGCTGAGGCAGTGTGCGCATGTGTCTTTGTTAGTGTTTTCCTTTAAGGTGCCCAACTATGTTTTTAACGCAGAATAATTTTGATGTACTCTACCGGTCAAACATCTGGAACCAGTACTTAAAAGTACGGAATCAATTCAATAACATAAAACCTAAAAAATGACGACATTTTCAAACAAAGCTGATTGTTTTATTGTGAAACATATGATTGTACACTGTGAAGAATGCTGACTGTGGCATGTTACGAACAACCACCATAAGAGAATCTTTAATTATTATTTATTGTTAAGTGCTCCAAGTATAAATGGTAAAGACCAGGGTGTTTGGTGGTTAAGTATGATTCTAAGACTCTTCTTTACTCAAGTAGAATAACACTTAGAATCAAGCTGTGAAAGTGGAAGCATTTAAAGTGGAATGGAAAATTTTATTTAGAAGCTGGAGACTAGGAAGCACCTCAGCCTGGGGGAGAAAACTCCAGACTCAGCAGCCACTTCTCCCCACAGGATTCTAGCAGCTGCTAAGTGGCTACTCTGAACGGGTGAAAAAGAAAACTCTCTTCAAAGGGACGTTAACAGCTTCAGCTCTGCGCCACTATTTGGTTGTACAGAGTCCTGGATTGTTTGCTGGGAGTGACTGAGCCATGTAAGAAAATCCCCTCCCAGTTAGTTCTGAGACGTAGCCTCATAATCTTAAACTTTATTTTTGCTTTTTTTATTTTTTGACAACTTTTGTTTATTTTTTAATTCACTTTACGTCTTCTAAGAAAATTATTTGTGCCATTTATCACTTAAACAAATACTGCTGCCTTTTTTTGGGGACAGTGACAATGACCAAAGAAAAAAAAAAGGAAATTTCCTAAATAAATAAATAAATAAATAAATACATACATACATGTGAAAGTTATGAATTCTGTGACAAAAATGTATTGTGACGTTGTGTTGATGTCAGTGTTGGAATTAGTCCATCAACAAACTGAGGACCTCCAGATCCGTAGGGACCATAATTGTGGTCCCCACAGGGATGACTACTTTAATGAACAGAAAACACCATATTAAAGCATGTAGTATTCATTTAGTGAAAACTTGGTGACATCCCCAAATTATACCTAAACATGGCAGCGTGTGTGTGCATGTGTTTGTGAGTGTGAGTGAGTGTGTGTGTGTGTGTGCGCGCGTGTGCGTATACACCTGCAGGTTTGCGTTCGGGCAGCGTGATGTGTCCGTCTGCTATGGAGTCGACCAGGTGCTGAAACTCAGCCGGGACCTCAGCCTGTTTCCACCTCTCAGTGTCCAGCAGCAGACTGCACAACATACACATAAAACATAGTAAAATACATAGTAAAACTGCGTGTTTGAATGCGGCACTACGTACGTACACTTAATAGCCACATTATCAGAAACGCCTCTTATGTAGCTCCACCTCGCTGGTGTACAGTTGTGTACAGTTTGTGTTAGCCATCCTGTGGCCCTTCATCAATGGTCAGTTTGACATACATTACATAGCCATAAGTATGTGGACTCCCTCCTAATTATTGAGTTCAGGTGTTTCAGCCACACCCTTTGCTAACGTGCGTATAAAATTAAGCACAGTCATGCAATCTCCACAGACTTCAGCACTGGCAGTAGAAGGGTCATACTGCACATTCAGTTCTGTAGACAGTATTTTAACAGGATCCACACTCTTACCATGAAAGTCCAGTTAAACAAGAACATGACGTCCCCAGTATGAATGACAGCTCCTTCATTTCTGAGTAATGTACAAAATAAACTCCTAACATTTTCCACTAAAAAATTGTAGCATGTGAAACTACATTGACAAGAGCCTGAAAGGAGTTAAAACTCCAGGGATCATAGGTCTCTGCTTCTCTAATGTAAACAAGCCTCCTCACCTCAAAAAGGCACCATACCATGAGGAAATACATTACTCTACATCCGGCAATGTATCAGACACTCTTCTCACCAGCTCTTCTGGTTGTTTCGCATCGTACTGGGTCTCATGGAGGTAGATTATCTTGTCAGTCACACCAGGCTTTAGTACGTGTTTTAGATCTTACTTAACCTGTAAGATGTTTAATATTATTCTAAGATGCGTTAAGGGGGGGGTGGTTTGGGGGGTTTGGAGGGCTGATAAATTGTGCAGAGATGAGCTGCAGTTTGTAGGTATAAATCAACAGAGTGCTTCTATATGGTAGGTGTTTCTAATAAACTGGCAACTCAGTGTATACATATGCAGGTACCTCAGCTTGGTTTTGCGCTCCTCATGAAAGCGGTGGACGAAGCGGTTGGCCTGGCTCTGCAGCGCCCCCCTCAGACTGACGCTGCGTCTGGAGCACAGAGCCTCCGTGTCCTTCACAAAACCCTCCACCGCACGGCTCACGCACACAAACTCTGCAGAGCTCAAGCGCTCCAGAGAGCCGTCCTGCCGACAGAGAGAAAAGCACATCTTTACCCTTTTATTTAAACCCTTAAACGCTGGACAGACTTCAATTTCTCACTCCTATAATGTAAGAATATTCAAGGGCATTCCTTTAATTTCAGAAAACTCTTAATGTCATTATTTTAATTTATTTTTTGTTGTATTTATGATTGTGAAGCACCCTGACATATCATTTTTTAATTACTATTAATAATATGCCTTATACATTGCTAGATGAGCCTGATCATTTCCAATTGAAACGGCCATTAAGTAAAATTTAATTAATAAAATTGAAAAAAAGTCAGAAAGCAGTTCACGCTTTGCTTTTATTACAGCTCCTATTCTTTTCAGGAGACTTGCTTTCAATTTAAAAAAAAAAAATCTTATATTTTTCCACATTTCTAAAGTTCAGTTTTAGCAGTTGGTTGCACTTTCTGCTTCTCACAAGCTGAGTAACCCCAAACACATTCAGTGATGTTGAGGTCTGAACTCTGGGGTGGTCAGTCCAACAGCTACACATCCTTTCAGACTCATAGTGCTGAGTGTCTCACAGTGGAAGGATGGACAGAAACTCCTGTGGATGTTTTCAGATCTGAATCAAGAGTGGAGCTTGATTTTCTCCTCTGTTTATCTGATGGGGACAGTTTTGGTGGGCTATCAGGTCATGCAGGAGCTTGTTAAAAGTCCCACTGTAACTGGATCTTTTAATCATTTTTTTTAAATCTAGTTTTGAAAAATCCTATTTTTATTTTACTTGTTTCCCTTTAACTTTCTACTTCTTTATGCAAGTGGAATATCATATCTAACCTCCTCAGAAATATCTCCTAAAAATGAGTAACTTGTACCTAATGGCTGATTTGACTGAGAACTAAATAAATGAAGTGTGGTCTCTGACTTTTGCACAGTGCAGTATGTATGTATGTACCTTGGCTTTAGCCAGCAGGACTTTCACACAGCGGTCATGGCTGACGTCTGAGGCGGTGTAGAGAAGCTCCTGGATGTTGTTGGCCACTCGGCCCAGCTCCAGATCAGATGGCATCAAGTCCTCACTACACATCAAACCAAAAAAAATGATTTCCCCCCATTGCTTTAAATGTAGTGGATAAGCCAGGACATATCTGGTGTCTGAAGTTTGCTTCTTTAGTTTTGCACTGGAGCTACAAGGCTAATGTAGCTAACAAGTAATGGAAAAATGTGCACCAAGTAGCAAGTGAAGAGGTGTTCAGTCAGCACTAAAAGACAGGTTTATGTGGTTTTTGACACAGTATAACACAATGTAATCTATGAATTTAGACAAAAGTGCAGACAAAAGTTAGGCTAAAGTATCCCTTTAGTACTTTCAGCGCTTTAAGTACTTTCACGCTACAAAAAATGTTACCTACACTGTTATCCATCCACACTCTTATCTATAAAACTGGACAAAAGTACATTAGTGTGGCTAAAAAACAGCAGCAGCCGCAATTGCAAGCTTAAATTTCGGCCCAGACCCATTTCTTCTTTTTACCCCTACCCCTTGTTTTTGAGTGTCACCCTGACCCCTTGGAACTGAGTTACAAGCGGTAGTGGCTGAAATCTTGGCCTACGAAATGCAACAAACCTCAAATTAAAAAATAAAAAATAAATAAACAAAAAGAAGAGCATCACTTCATTAACAGCTACCAGCGCTGCTCTGTAGGCAACCCTGCCAGTCTGCAGTGACAGCAGAGGAGGGTAAAGTTCAGCTCCTCACTGACATTAAACTGAGATAATACAGTGGATACTGTAATTTATTTAACAGAGAAAATTCTCACATTTGTGGGTTTCTTTGGTTTGGAGGACCATGTAGCCCAAACACTTCGCCCCACCCCTCTATCTCACCAAGAACGGGGACACCCTACCCCTAGACGTGAACGCGCAAAACAGAGGGGTAAGGGCTGAGTGGTGGGGGCGAGGGGTGAAATGGGATTGGGCCTTTGTCTATACTTTTGTAGAGAACAACATGTTATAAAAGCTTGCATTGCTGTTAGCTACAACAGCCTCGTAGCCTCAGCGTAAAAATAAATCAGCAAATTTCAAACACCAAATATGTCGTGGCTGATCGAAAACACCTGGGCTGAGGAGGAACGTGGGTAAACGTGACTGGTCACTGAACTATCATTCAACATGGTTCAACTTCATAAAAGTATTCAGATTGACTCCTTAACAACCTCATAACAGAGATGATCCAATGACATTTAGAGAAAAAATAAAAGACACAAGAAAAACGTATCAATTTTACTGCAGAGCAGAGATTTTCGAAAACGCTATTCATTTTCCTGTTTAGACCTGGACCCTCTTAAATGGGCATGAAGCTACATGACATTAACAAGCCCATTAGACCTTCACTGTGACTGTCGAGATAAAATATTAGCCTGTGCAACCCCCTGTAACTACAGTGACTCACATTGAGATGGTGCCCCCTGTGGGCAGGGAGGAGGTAGTGTTGGAGGTGTGCTCTCTGCTGGAGGACGACTCTGTGGTTCCTGAGGCCGAGTCGCTTCCGGAAGTTTCCACGCGTGTCTGCGTTTTCGCCTGCGTGGCTGCGCTGCTGCGGCGTTCCGCTTCGTTTAGCGCGTCACTGATGAACAGCCCCTCGTGAGTGAGGTATGCGAGCTCCGCCTCTCCGGGACGAAGACCCGAGCCTCCGGAATCCTCCTCATCCTCGTCTTCGTTTTCCCCGCCGTGGGCAACCGCAGAAGATGCGTCGACCAGCCGGTTTCTCTGGCAGCTGTCCAGGACTTCCAGTACGACGTTACGGATCACGCTGAGAGTGGCCTGAAAACACACAGTGCAAAACAGTTACACAAACAGTGCATGAAGCGCACTTTGAAGTGACAATAGAGATTTTCTAACAACGTGACGGCAGCGTTACAAACACCGCAGGAGGGATGCACTGATACCACTTATTCCAATACCATACCCGATCCTTAAGTACTGATCGATACAGAGTACCGGTATCCATACTAACTCTATCTAACCTAACTATCTTAGAAGTCCTGATCATTTATACATTTCACTTTTTAATATTTCACTTTGGTAAAATCTTTGGTTCTGTGTCACAAATAAAACACACTCTTGCTCAAGAGAACCTACATTTGTGTTATTCTATACATACACAGATCAGGCATAACATTATGACCACCTCCCTGTTTCTACGCTCATTGTCCATTTTATCAGCTCCACAGAAACAACCCAGTCATCATTCATATGAGTCCTGCAAGTTTAATGAGTTAACGGCATGATGTCAGCGTTTTCAAAAAGCTGTGTTTTTCCTGTCCACAAGAAACGCTGAAAACCAGAGAGCGGTTTCAAAAATCTCTTTCTTCAGCGAATATAAATGCCATTCCCGTGTGGACGGCAAAAAACAACGGTTTAAAGAATATCCGGATTTGTGTGGATGGGACCAAAGAGTTTAAACGTGGCTAACGTACCTTGATCCTCGTGAGGAAGAGCACAAAATGCTCAAACACGTTCTGCAGCAGCTCGAACCACTGAGCAAACGTCATCAACCTCATCTGATCCTGAAGCCTGTAACACATAAACATTATACAACAGTTTAGCACAAACACATACAAGAACCTCACACACTCAAACTGCAACGTATTAGAATCAATGTTAGATATACTGGTTTCATCACTGGAAAGCTACTCACTTCACCACAGCGTCTGTGTCGATCTCCTCAATCTGAGACACAGATCTCAGCACACACTGGACAAGAAAGCAAAGGAAAACACAGTTTTAAGTTCTAGTAATAAATCAAATCTCAAGCAGGGTCAAAACTCTCTGTGCATCACAGAGCAGAGATGGCTTTTGTTTTGTGACCAAGTTCACAGTGACTTGACTCAATTAAGATTCTTTAGGAAACCATTAAATGCATCATAAAATCTTAAATTTCACCACATTTGGAATCAATTAGATTACTTTGGTACAAAATGCATTGAATACACAAACGTGACAGTATGAATCATTTATACAGCAGGGCAATATAGATTAAAAACAATACACTAAGCTTTATATGTCCTCAGTTCTCAACATATAAAAAAAAATATATCATATTTCTATAAAAATGTCACACTTCAAAATGTTCGTGCACAACAAACTGTTATTGGCCAAGTACTGTGATTGCAACAGACCTAAAAATTAATGCATTATTAGTTAACCAAAATAATTTGTTGGATCATGGAAAGTCATCCAAACACCCACAGAATAACTGCAATCGGCCAGGATGCTCACAGCACACAACACAGAAACACTGTGATTGGACAGAGGCTCATTTGCATATCGCAGCCGTCTGTGACATCAATATTACACTAATATCACGATAACAATTAATAAACAGTATATTTTTCAGCCCGACCCATACTTGACTGAATATTAATACAATGAATTATCACACTTCAAAATTGAATCAGCACCTTCAGATCAACGCATCAGTCCATTTCTACACTTCTGTTGTGTGTTACTACCTGTCTGACGATGCCTTTGGCCGCCTGCATCATCTCCTCACTGTAAATATCCAAAAAATCCAGCTTCCTCTGCCTCAGTAAACCAAACACCAGAGACTGCAGACGGTCCTGAAACACACAAACACCAAGTGATTCACTCAGCATAAGTACCATTGTTCTTCATGCAATGTCAAAATTTATGAAATTCATTCAGTCAGATAATTTTTCAAATTACAAAAACACGACAATCATACTTGATTCAAAGTAAAGGATCAGGAATGTACAACTGAGTTGCACAAGCTTCCTCTGTGCAAACAGAATGTATATTTCTGATCCTTGCTCTACGAACACAAAGACCTGATCCTGACACACACACACACACACAGGCGTTCCGGCACTGATATATTTATATGTAATGTTTAATAACCTTCTGAAACACACTCAGACATGCGATGAGACAATGATCAATTTTTTTTTCAGATTTACAAAAATCCTGTCATGACAATCATACCTTCATATTTAAACACTACCTAAATCAATCAATTCAGGTTCATTTCAGGGATCAGTTGTTTGCAGTCACACTGTAATCAGTAGGGAATGATTAACATGACCGATCAGAACATTTAGAGAATCACAGCGACTGTAATTGTTTTCGTTTGATACTGGTACCAATTCACAAACGTGCTGATTCAGAACAAAACACCAACCTTCTCATTTGCCGGTTTGCGGTTTGGCACCTAAATCAAACACAGCCACAGTTTCAAACTCAAAACCAGAGTAGGCCCACACACTTCACCCACTGACCTACATACAGGCCTCACTGCTCTGAAGTGGCTCTCCCAAAACCACTGGAGCGCCCAAAGATGAGGGGGAGCACATACTTTCTAACAACAGTTCAGTTTATTTTAAGGCTTTGGTGGCTTCAGGAAGCTTAGTGCAGTGATGTCTGTGTCATACAGCTAAGATGTAAGAGTTCCGGTCTGTTCATACAGGAGCTTTGTGCTCAAGTGAACTAATTTCATCAGTGTGTCCAGTAAAAATGTCTGTGCTTCTTTAAAACAGGGAGCTTCAGTATGAATGAGGAGAAATAACTGAACAAACATACAAACACAAACAAACAAGATGCAGGCTACAGTAAAATGGAAAAAGAAAGGGGGATTTTCTGCAGCCGTACCTTTTCTAGCACTTGGCTGTCGTCCTCGAAGGAGCGGTTGAGGTCACTTCTGGAATAGGTAGTGAAATCTGCCACCATCATCTTATCAATCAGCTTCTCCATCTCACACAGCTGAGAACCTAAGTGCCTGAGAGAGAGAGAGAGAGAGAGAGAGAGAGAGAGAGAGAGAGCAAATGTGAGTTTCTCAAATGTGAGTTATACAAATAAAGTCATTCAGAGTGGTTTGGTGTGAAATGGTTCACTGTGGAGAAACTTACCGACTCTGAATTCTTTACAGTGGTGCTGATAGGAACCAGGAGTCCCCATGACCACAATGCAAATATAGCCATCAAAACCACCAGTGATCCTACACTTGTTTTCTGAGGGCTTTTTGTAACATTATAAAGTAAAATAATGGTCAGTCAGAAAAATTAAGTTTCCTTTGGGGACTATTTTGCCTTAGAACACCACTCATGTATCCCTCCACCATGAATGGATTAAAACAAACTGATTAAAACACGTTTTAGACCCACATTTTACCACAAAACTACTAGAAAACAAGGCCTCGGACACCAGGCAGTGCACTCATAACAATTTAATGTAGTAACTTTCTTTCTGTGAGGGAGTTTTTAGAGGCGCTAAACTCCTCAGACGTCTGGTTCCTATCACCACCACTGTGAACGGTTCTGACTCTGTAAGTTTCCATAAAACAAAGACTAAGATTAGATTAAGTGAGCCTTATTAGTCCCACAACTCACCTCCGCATTTAACCCATCCGTGCAGTGAAACACCCACACACACTAGTGAACACACAGACTAGGGGGCAATGACACACTTGCCCGGAGTGGTGGGCAGCCCCATCCACAGCGCCCAGGGAGCAGTTGGGGGTTGGGTGCCTTGCTCAAGGGCACTTCAGTCTCGTACTGTCAGCTCAGGGGATCGAACCTTCCAGTCACAGGGCTGGTTGCCTAACCTCCAGCCCACGACTGCCCCCAAACCACTCTGAATGATTGTGTTGACATTACGCAGAAATGTTGAAAAATCGGTGGAGTTCCCCTTTAATTAGCCAGCTCAAGCAAAGGGCCTTTTAAAAGGCTGCTTGTTCCAGCATGTATTGTTCTTTCTTCTTTAGCCTGCTGTTATGGGGATCTATGACACCCCTAATTCACACAGAGCTCAGACTCATCTGGAATGAGACGGCACAACCTACTTACCGTTGCTGATCATGTGTTTCCCTTCATGGCCACAATTTACCATCTTCTCAGCAGGATTATGCACCATGTTACAAAGCAAACGGCGTCTCAAACTGGTTTCATGAACATGACAATGAGCTCAGTGCTCTTCAGCGGCAGTCACCGAAACTAAATCCAATAGAACACCTTTGGGACGTGTTAGGCTGGACACACACTACACGATTTTTTGCCCGATTTTAAGCCCGAATGGCCCCTTGCACTAAATTTTCCCAGTCTGAAGCGATTCTCCAGGTCGGAAGCAACCAACAGCCTGTTGGTCAAACAACAGCCAATCAGAGAGCTAGAAGAGCGGAGAAACAGGCGGAGAGACGTCCACGCACACCGCCCTAACAGCAGAGCGCTGAGACAGAGGAGCTGCGTGTAAAACACCGGCAGATAAGAGTCGATATCATGATTATAATGTTGATCCAGACATCAGATCTTTACCCTTTCAGTTCAGCTACCAGTTTGTAGTGCAACATTTCTCCAGCTCTCACTGTGAAATCAGCATTTCTCACCACATATTAATCACCAGTTCACTGCGCACAAAAGCACAAACAGGTCCAGTATGTTTAGCTTTGTGTCATGTGATCTGAGATGATCTGGGAGTTTGAGTTCTTATTTGTAGCCCAAACTCGTTATGAGTGTAATACTCTCTCTTTGACTTGTCGTCTAGTGTGAGCGACCTCACGACAAAAAGACAAGAAATTCTGTGAGAACCTGGCACTAAGGCACTGTGATGCTCTCGTTTTTGACATCTGTTAAGATTTTAGAAGTCGCACCTGAAAAATCTGCATGAACTGCACGATGCAGTCAGGTAAATATCGACCAGAATCTCAAAGGAATGTTTCCAACATCTTGTGGAATCAAAGCCATGAAGAACTGAGGCTGTTTCGAGAGCAAAGGAAGGCCCTACCCAGTGTTATTATTATTAAAGTGTACCTAATAAAGTGCTCGGTGAGTGTATCTAGAAAAAAATGGCAAAGACAGCTGGAAAACGTTATTAAGATGACAAAAATGCTGTGAAGATGTAAACAACACCTCACGGATGACTTGATAGCGAGAACAATATGGTGTACCGAAAAATGAGCTGCTAACTCTAGTGGAGTAACGGAACGTGTTGCATGCAACTTTGGTGGTTTTTGAATTGCTTCCTCTCTGTCTGTCAAGTTGCACAAAGTTATGTTGAACTCACTGCATGCAACTAGGTGCATAAAGGTTTCACCATGTAAAGCCAGCTTTAGGCTTGAGTGCGGTTGCCCATCCACCACAAATCCATGGAGCTCCCGACGAACAGTTCTTGTACTGATGCTGCTTCCAAAGGTGGGCTGGAATTCGGTAGGGAGTGTTGCAACCGAGGGCAGACAATTTTTATCCACCACACGTTTCAGTATTCACTAGTCACGTTCTATGAGCTCGTGTAGCTGAACTGTTGCTGCTCCTTGATGTTTCCAATTCCCAATAACTGCCTATCTCACTGATCAGAAGGAGTGTCCACATACTTCTGGCCATGCAGTGAATCTGTGATCTCATGTCCTGACAAGGTGTGTGTGTGTTTACCTGAAACTGTGGATGCCCTGTAGCTCCTGCTGCAGCACCTCCTTGGTGGTGGCGATGAGCTCTAGCGCCCCCACGAACTCTGAGGTGGACAGCAGTAACTGCACCGTGGGCTGCGTCTGCTGCACCGCTGCCATCAGCTTCAGCTTTCCGTGCAGTTTTGCGCAGTTGCTGCGGGTCACGGCGTCCCTCAGCGCCTGGAGCGGCCCGCGGCACATCACCCGCTGCATTGCTGCCGTCCGGGCCCGCAGCGTCGCCACGGCAACCTCCGTCTCCCGCAGACGGTCCTGCAGCTCGTGTTGGGAGGACATGGCGTGGAAAAACGCCTCGGAGCGCAGAGAGATCTGACGAGCAATACTGACCTCTACAACGTCCAGATAGTGACTCAACTACAGGAGTGATGGAGAGAGAGAGAGAGAGAGAGAGAGAGAGAGAGAGAGAGAGAGAGAGAGAGAGATATGGAGAGGGAGGAAGAGAAAGCAAGATAGAAGGACGGAGAGCAAGAGAGAGATAAAGGGAGGAAAGGAGGGCAAGAAAGAGAAAAAAAGATAGAAGGAGGGAGAGAAAGAGAGAGATAAAGGGAGGGAAGGAGGGCGAGAAAGAAAGACCGAGAGAGGAGGGAGAGAGAGAGAAAGTGAGACCGAGTGAAAGAGAGGGAGACAGAGAGAGGGAGGGACAGATGCAGGAATGGATGGAGGGAGGGAGGGACGAATGGATGGATGGAGGGAGGGAGGGAGGGATGGCAAGAGAGGGAGACGTCGCAAAAGAGGGAGGTGGAGGGAGGGTGAGAGAGGCAGGTGGAGGGAAAGAGGGATGGCAAGAGAGGGAGACGTCGCAAAAGAGGGAGGTGGAGGGAGGGTGAGAGAGGCAGGTGGAGGGAAAGAGGGATGGCAAGAGAGGGAGACAGAGCAAAGGAGGGAGGCAGAGGGAGGGAGAGACGAATGGATGGATGGAGGGAGGGAGGGAGGGATGGCAAGAGAGGGAGACGTCGCAAAAGAGGGAGGTGGAGGGAGGGTGAGAGAGGCAGGTGGAGGGAAAGAGGGATGGCAAGAGAGGGAGACGTCGCAAAAGAGGGAGGTGGAGGGAGGGTGAGAGAGGCAGGTGGAGGGAAAGAGGGATGGCAAGAGAGGGAGACGTCGCAAAAGAGGGAGGTGGAGGGAGGGTGAGAGAGGCAGGTGGAGGGAAAGAGGGATGGCAAGAGAGGGAGACAGAGCAAAGGAGGGAGGCAGAGGGAGGGAGATGGACGGACGACGAGAGAGGGAGGCAGGGAGAGAGGGCGATGGAGGGACGGTAAGAGAGAGATGGAGGCGGAGAGGGACAGAGATAGAAAGGGAGATAGAGAGAGGGAGATAGAGAGGGAGACAGAGAGAGGGAGATAGAGAGAGAGATAGAGAGAGGGAGATAGAGAGGGAGACAGAGAGAGGGATGGCAAGAGAGGGAGACGTCGCAAAAGAGGGAGGTGGAGGGAGGGTGAGAGAGGCAGGTGGAGGGAAAGAGGGATGGCAAGAGAGGGAGACGTCGCAAAAGAGGGAGGTGGAGGGAGGGTGAGAGAGGCAGGTGGAGGGAAAGAGGGATGGCAAGAGAGGGAGACGTCGCAAAAGAGGGAGGTGGAGGGAGGGTGAGAGAGGCAGGTGGAGGGAAAGAGGGATGGCAAGAGAGGGAGACAGAGCAAAGGAGGGAGGCAGAGGGAGGGAGATGGACGGACGACGAGAGAGGGAGGCAGGGAGAGAGGGCGATGGAGGGACGGTAAGAGAGAGATGGAGGCGGAGAGGGACAGAGATAGAAAGGGAGATAGAGAGAGGGAGATAGAGAGGGAGACAGAGAGAGGGAGATAGAGAGAGAGATAGAGAGAGGGAGATAGAGAGGGAGACAGAGAGAGGGATGGCAAGAGAGGGAGACGTCGCAAAAGAGGGAGGTGGAGGGAGGGTGAGAGAGGCAGGTGGAGGGAAAGAGGGATGGCAAGAGAGGGAGACAGAGCAAAGGAGGGAGGCAGAGGGAGGGAGATGGACGGACGACGAGAGAGGGAGGCAGGGAGAGAGGGCGATGGAGGGACGGTAAGAGAGAGATGGAGGCGGAGAGGGACAGAGATAGAAAGGGAGATAGAGAGAGGGAGATAGAGAGGGAGACAGAGAGAGGGAGATAGAGAGAGAGATAGAGAGAGGGAGATAGAGAGGGAGACAGAGAGAGGGAGACAGAGAGAGGGAGACAGAGAGAGGGAGATAGAGAGAGGGAGATAGAGAGAGAGGGAGATAGAGGGAGAGGGAGATAGAGGGAGATAAAGTGCACAAAGAATGAAAAATGAATTAAAAAACCTTTAACCAACTGCTTTGGCAACATTGTACTGCATACAGTCAGGAGAATAACGCCATCTTAAACTGAACAGAGAGAAAGAGAGAGAGAGAAAATGAAAGAGAAAACAAAAGCCTGGCAGAGACAGAGTGAAACAGAAAGATGTGAAGGCATGTGGTTTTCCGGTCAGAAGTATTTCAGGTATGAGCTGCTGTTTAAAATGAGCCAAAGGTAAATATGAGCTCAGGAATGAACTTCAAAAACAGGACTTCACTCTGAGCCACACAACGAAACTCACACCACAACTGTCCACCTGGATCATTCATACTGGACGATCCTCAGTGTGGCTTAAAGTGACAGATCAAATTTACAGTTTTACCTAAATGTAACTGATGATTCATAAATAAACACCAGAAGGCTGAGTTTTGTCTCGTGTCCCTGTTTGGGACACATTACACAGCGACAGCTCCACAGGCTGAGATACGGGCTACGGCTGTAACTAGTGTGTGATCAACCAATGACATAAGTGAACTTATGGATACCTTCTCTTGCAGTAACCGTGACGACGCACCGTCCCGACTGTTCTTCCCCCCAGCAACGCTAAAATGTGACCACGGCAACACAGCATTGAAGGTGGCGGGGTCGTTCAGCACAAAGTCCGGCCTCATGAAAATCTGAAGAGGACAAACACAGAGGAACCAAAATAAACATAATGGGACAGATGGATGGACAGAGAGAGAGATGAAGGACAGATGGACTGATAGACTGATGAATCAACAGACAGATACATAGACAGATGACAGATGAACAGATGGACATAAAGACTGGTTGGATGAACAGGCATGAGGACAAAAAGTAGGACAGATGGACAGAAAAATGGACGGAAGGACAGACATATGGAACGAAAGAGAGATGGATGGATAGATGGAGAGCATGATGGATGGATGGATAGACGGACAGCATGAGGGATGGATGGACAGACATATGGACGTGAAGTTGGATGAATGGAGAGACAGACAGATGGATGGACCAACAGATGGACACGTGGATGAATAAACAGAAATATGGATGGAAGGACAGACATACGAACAGAAAGTTGAACAAACCGATGGACAGACAGATGGATGGATAGATGGAGAGCATGATGGATGGATGGATGTGGACAGACGGACCAACATGTGGACAGAAAGATGGACGTATGAACGGACGGACTGAAACTTGGAGATCGACAGATGGCGAGACAGACAGATGGAGAAAAAGATGATGGATGGATGGAAAGACAGACATGGATGTATAGATGGTCAGACAGATGGAAGTACAGACGGATAAACGCATGAATGGAAAGAAAGACGGACTGATGAATTAATGGACAGAAAGACGGATGAGCAGAAAGGCAGAAAACTCAGTTCTTACCTTGGGCACCTGGTCAAGCTCCTCTTTGGCTTTATCTACGAGAAGAGCAGTGTTTCAATATCTTATACACACAGCTTTCATACAGTAACCATTACTTACACTGTCCATACAACCAATACAACCACCACCACCACCACCACCATCACTGCTGCTCCTTACTGTAATTATCAAATACACACAAACTATATTCAGTCATGACACTGATTTAAGCTGTTTTTCCATTTGATCATAACTGAGCAAATGGAAATTAAATTTATATTAAATTTTATTACATATGATGAACTGAATTTAATTACACTGACTACAGCAACTTGCACAACAATTTGTTTGTGTAACAAGGGGCTTTCTTTGTCACACGGCTGTCGTACCACTCTGCTGCATACCGTGGTTGTTTGTGATGCTGGAGAGAGAGAGATCGTCTTTACTGGGACAAATATTTTTACACCTCTCATGGATTTTCTCCCTCTGCAACACACAACAAGCAAACAAAGGGGTCATTAAATACAGTCTATTTATTTTTTCATTATGAAGTAAAAAAGCAGAAACCAAATTTACATTTACACAGAAGCCTCAACAACGAAATACAGCGTCATATTTTCTGTAGTGTGTTCACTCTTCGCCTGTGTTACAGTTTCTACTCTTTTCAATAGACTCACTTGCAGTTTTTCAAAATCCGCAGGGATGTGTTTCCTCTAACGCCTCTAAAGTTCTTAGAAGTTGGTTGCATTTTCTGCTTCTCGCAATCCAAATAATCCCAAACACATTCAGTGACGTCGAGGTCTGGACTGTGGGGTGGTCAGTCCATCGCTCTGAGAAACACCAGCAGCTTCTTCGTATGATTTTTACATTTCCTTTTCTCAGTAACGGAAGAATGGGGCTCGATTTTCTCCTGTCTTTCAAATCTGACAGCTTTAACTGCAGACCTGATGGCAGACCACCCAGACTGTCACCACCTCTCGTCGTCAGGAGTCCTAGTTTTCTCTGTGTTCTTTAATCATCTTTTCTACTTTTTCAACCTCCTGTCTTTTCCCCACTTATTCTCCTTTGACTTTCTCCTTCCTTACGCAAGGCAAATGAAAAGCATGGACTCAGTAACCAAAAAGAAACGGTTTTGCTCTTTCAGTTTAAAAAATGTGTGTGTGAAGGTAAAAGTATTTAAGCGTCGGTGTTACCTGAGCGGTGTCCTGCAGGTATGCGTTGAAGTGTTCGGCCGTTATGTTGGGCAGGTAGAACGAAGGCATCACCTCCGTCTCGGTGAAGTCCAGCCCCCATGTCTTAGTGAAGAAGTCGGATTCGCGCTTGGCGAGCCGCGGGTCGTTTAGGGCCGCCGGCAGGTTCACTTTAGAATTATACACCGTCCACTGGTGCTGATCCGACACCACCGATGGACCCTCACAGAGACCCCGCGCATCCCCTGCACAAGGGCATCATGGGAAATGTAGTTTAGAGCGCAGTAAGACCGCAAAACTATGGCTATCGAAGAATGTTGTCACTTAGCTTTATATAAGATTTACCAGTCATTCTGGGGTCCAACTGCAGCTTTAAAGGCTAAAATCCAGCGGTGTGTAAAAGCCGGATCATTATGTTTTGTTGATTTTCTACATGAAAATAAGTAAACACATCCTCTACAGGGAAAAGGTTTAATTTTGGCTTTTCCCAGCAAATTTTAGTGCACAATTTCTATTTATTTGCTGGGTCTAAAGGACCCATATGATGGAAAAATCTAACTTTTCTTACTTTTTTTCTTACAGTTTGTAAACATGGTAAGTTTACCATGAACTCCCCAGTGCAGACATGGAAACTAGGCATCAAAAAACAGCCGTTTTGAATCTACTGCGTCTGTGACGTGATGAAAACCAATGCATTACGTATCTCCGCCTACTCAGCCAACAGCTATTTAGCTCTGCTCATTCACACTGAAGAAAAAGGGATGTTTCAGCCTGCTCTCCTTTTTGAATGAGGCAAAAATACAGACCAGCCAATCATTTACATGCATACGTCTTATAGGCATGGTAACAAAAACATCCTGTTTAAATGTAACGGATGAAGAGAGGTTGAAAAACAGTCATGAAAAAATGAATGAAAGTAAAACCACAGAAACCACAAAAAACATTGAAAAATTGAGGACATCGGGCCTTTTAACAATGAAAAAAATATAAAAATGTACCATAACTTCTGCACAGGCCACATTTTGTTTTTTTTCCTTCAAATATGCTAAATTCATCAAAAAAAAAGTAAATGTGCACTGAAATGTGCAGAAGTGTGCTCTCTACAGAGGATGTGTTTTATTTTCAACTATAAAAGGGGCGCCTAAACTTTTGTGGACGACTGTACATATTTTCCCTCACCACGTCAAATTAAGTCAATCAGTCAGGGCATGTTTAGTGTACGAAGCTTAATATCTTTAGATTTACACTGGAGCAATGAGGCTGAGGTAGCTACCAAGTAATGGATGCTTACAATGCTGTGAAAAAGTATTTGCTCCCTCACTTGATTTATTCTATTTTTGTTAATTTGTCACATTATAATGTTTCAGATCATCCAACTCATTTTAATATAAGACAAAATCAAACAAAATGAGCTTTTAAATGATCATTCTATTTATTAAAGACTAATCTATATCACCCCAATCTATATCACCCCCCCCCCGTGCTGCCTTTTAAGACGTCCTAACCTGCTTCACATTGCCAGGCAAGTTCTATCTAAGCGATGTCTAGATTCAACAGTAAATGTCTGGGTGTGGCTAGTGAAACTGATCCCAATAGTCAACTGAATTCGGTGAACTGGTTGATTTAGTAGCTAAGAGGGCAACTGCTTTTTCACACTGCGCCAGGTAGGGCTGAAACAGCGTTTTTCCTTCAGTAAATGAAATCATCACTTAAAAAAAACAGCATTTTGTTTTACTTTACAGTCATCGTTGTCTAATATTAAACCTAGTCTGATGATCTGAAACATTTAAGTGCGACAAATGTGTAAAAACTTGAAGAAATTGGGAAGGGGCAAATACTTTTTCACAGCACTGTACGCATAGCAATCAGCACTGTGCTAACTGCACGCCTACATCACACACCTGCTTCAGAACATGTAGAGTTGTTGAGCTCTACCAGACTTGCTCACGTGGTTTCTGACAGTGTATGACGCACTTTGCGAATGTACACGTGTTCAAGTTCATACAGTGTCAGAAACCACACAGTCAAGTCTACTGGAGATTCAGGCACACAGTCAGCATGACGCTAACTGGTGGAGTATAAAGCCCCATTATTCGTTAGCCTGGTAGCTCCAGCGTGAAACCACAGAACCAAACTTCAGACGTCAAGCATGTCTCAGCTGACCGGCTACATTTGGGCTTAGAGTAAAACTGAGTGGATCTGATTTTTCGCTAAACTATCGCTTTCTGAGAAACATCAACTCCGAGCTACTCCTCCTCACCGGTGGGCTCCTTGGGGCAGACGTCAGGGAGTGAGCGGGGGGGTCTGTAGTATCTGGAGGAACTGGCCAGATCTTTGGGCTTTCGGAAGAGCCCGTCAGCGCCGCTGCCGGCCATGCTGGACTGGGCCATCGGTGACGAGCCCGGCCCAGACGCCATCGCAGAGCGGCAACCTCACACCAGCAGCCAGCTGAGAGAGAGAGAGAGAGAGAGAGAGAGAGAGAGAGAGAGAGAGAGAGAGAGAGAGTGCAAATGTGAGTTTCTCAAAGCTAAGCTTTCTTTAACCAGCTGTGTTGAAGGGGAGTTCCATTGATTTTTCAAAATTTCTGGATAATTCAGTGGTTGATATACAAATAGAGAGAGAATATTGCAGAAGAGAAGGGATTACTTTATTAGAAACGCCTACCTTGGACTTCCGCTCACTGGTCACTTTATTAGAAACGCCTACCTTGGACTTCCACTCACTGGACACTTTATTAGAAACACCTACCTTGGACTTCCACTCACTGGCCACTTTATTAGAAACACCTACCTTGGACTTCCACTCACTGGCCACTTTATTAGAAACACCTACCTTGGACTTCCACTCACTGGTCACTTTATTAGAAACACCGACCTTGGACTTCCACTCACTGGCCACTTTATTAGAAACACCTACCTTGGACTTCCACTCACTGGACACTTTATTAGAAACACCGACCTTGGACTTCCACTCACTGGCCACTTTATTAGAAACACCTACTTGGACTTCCACTCACTGGACACTTTATTAGAAACACCTACCTTGGACTTCCACTCACTGGTCACTTTATTAGAAACACCGACCTTGGACTTCCACTCACTGGTCACTTTATTAGAAACACCTACTTTGTTCTTCCACTCACTGGCCACTTTATTAGAAACACCTACTTTGTTCTTCCTCTCACTGGCCACTTTATTAGAAACACCTACTTTGTTCTTCCACTCACTGGCCACTTTATTAGAAAACACCTACTTTGTTCTTCCTCTCACTGGCCACTTTATTAGAAACACCTACTTTGTTCTTCCACTCACTGGCCATTTTATTAGAAACGCCTACCTTGTGCTTCCACTCACTGTCCACTTTATCAGAAACCCTTATACACACTGATGAAAGGCTAGAGGGCTACGGTCTCTGACCGTCCACCAGCACTGTGTAGCTTAAGTAAAGCAGCCACTGAGAGACGTGAAGGACACACAGCAGGTTAAAACCCTTACATGCAGACAGGCTGTTATCTACAGACTTTGTGGACGTTTTTTCCAGGGTTTTCATAGTTGTGTTATTTTCAGTGTGGCTGAAAACAGAAGTGAAAGAGCTGATCGTCGAGTGCTGACACCCAAGAGCGATATGAGGTATTTACCGAGAAATATGATGAGAAACCGTCTTCTCAGCCAAGACTCAAATCAAGCAACTACTGTGACTACAGTGCTGACCTTTTAGGTAAACCACATGGTGGAAAGGAAGCACTTTAGCTACTGCGGCATATTTTTTCTTCTTTTGGTATTCGTATAAAATACTATACTTCTGCTTTTTTTCCCCCCACATTCTATGCAAATTCGTTACATATCACTAAACACAGATCATTCTTAAAAACACTACAGTGGTGCACTGTAACTATCAGCGCTAGATGGAAACACTCGCTCAAATAAGGAACTCCAGATCTGAGCTGTTTTTGTCTATGCAAATAAAATAAAAAAATATATATATATATATATATATATATATATATATAATAATATAATATATATATATATACTGTTTTTGTAAATTGCTGCCGGTGCATCCAGTCGTAAACAAAAATGTTCCAGAGCAGATTCGGTTTGTCGTTTTCACCCTGAATGTCACTGCAATCATTTTATTCAGCCTGCAGACAAACTCAGCAGCCCTTCCATTACAGTCGCTACGCAATGTTGAGTTTCCAGTTAGAAACAATACACTGCAGTCTGTCATTATGTGACTATACAGTGGAGCTATTAGGGAGGCGTTTCCAATAAAGTGGCCTGTGAGTGGAAGCACAAGGGAGGTGTTTCTAATAAAGTGGCCAGTGAGTGGAAGAACAAGGGAGGTGTTTCTGATAAAGTGGCCAGTGAGTGGAAGCACAAGGGAGGTGTTTCTGATAAAGTGGCCAGTGAGTGGAAGCACAAGGTGGGTGTTTCCAATAAAGTGCCCAGTGAGCAGAAGTCCAAGGTGGGTGTTTCTAATAAAGTGGCCAGTGAACGGCCAGTGAAGTGATTCTGACTGTACTCCACTGAATGGTCTGATCCGCTCTTTAAAACGCTTCTCACCTGTTAACTCGTCACTTTCACCTCTTGTAAATCTAGTATTAGTCCATTAAACCTGCACTGCCAGATTAGGGCAGATGTTAAATGATTAACTACCAGCACTCACTCCTGACTATGTGACCAGACAGAGATCTGATAACCGCGCACGCACTGCTGAAGCCCACTGAAAGGACCAGGGACTCACAAACAAGTCAGAAACAGCTCAGCTTCACCCACTTATTGGGAAATACTCTCTAAGTACATTAGCTGGTAGGACTGAACCAGGGCCAGATAGACAGCTCACCAAAAACGCCTCGGAAATGTCTGATTTGGGTTAGATAGACAGCTCACCAAAAACGCCTCGGAAATATCTAATTTGGGTTAGATAGACAGCTCACCAAAAACGCCTCGGAAATGTCTGATTTGGGTCAGATAGACAGCTCACCAAAAACGCCTCGGAAATGTCTGATTTGGGTTAGATAGACAGCTCACCAAAAACGCCTCGGAAATGTCTGATTTGGGTCAGATAGACAGCTCACCAAAAACGCCTCGGAAATGTCTGATTTGGGTCAGATAGACAGCTCACCAAAAACGCCTCGGAAATGTCTGATTTGGGTCAGATAGACAGCTCACCAAAAACACCTCGGAAATGTCTGATTTGGGTCAGATAGACAGCTCACCAAAAACGCCTCGGAAATGTCTGATTTGGGTCAGATAGACAGCTCACCAAAAACGCCTCGGAAATGTCTGATTTGGGTCAGACAGCTCACCAAAAACACCTCGGAAATGTCTGATTTGGATCAGACAGACAGCTCACCCAACATCAATCAGCAGCGCTAACGAGCTTAGCTGCTAAAGCTAGGCTTTAAACGAAGCTGAAGTCTGCTTGATCGAATTTTCCCGTTCCACCTTAAATGGTGCAGCAGTTCCATTCAGGCGCCTCAGGCACCAGAACGTAGCCGCGGCACCATTTAAGGTGGACCGGGAAAATTCGAAGGAGAACTAGCCGACTTCAGCCTATTCCCCTTTATGGTCCACTAACATCATCCCCTTGATATAAACAAGGTCTCTGTTATATTCTAAAACCGAAGACATTACGATAAACCCTTTAAAACAACCCTCAGTCACAGAAGATGTCAGTCCTTCGAGGTTCCACGTAATCTAAGCTAAGCTGGCCGGCTAACACGTTAGCACGCTAAAGCTACCGCTAGTTCTACCGGAGCCCGGTCGTTTCACTTTGACAGTTCTCGTCTCAATCATCTCGTTTAAAGGCGAACAAAGAGGGGTATCAGGTCTTTAAATGAGCCGCGGGTCAGCGCGAAAGCGTTTCATTTACCTGTTGTGTAAAGCGCGGCCGCAGCTGGTAAACATTACCGACAAAACTTGCTCCTTTTCGGTCACCATCACAACAACGACGGCCGGCTAGTCGACCGTCATAGACGCAACTCGAGGGGCTGTGTTCCAATCGGAGCGCCTGCGGACTGAACACTCGTACACTACCTAGTGCATTCTAGTAAGCACCGTGTCCCGCAGGGCGCTGTAATGATACAACTGCAGCTGTCCTCTAACTAGTTTGTTCTGGCGAGGAGATGTGCTTGTAAATCAACTGGTCTGTTCTAGTTAGAACACTAGCGAGTGTAAACCAGAGCTTAGCACGGTTAAAGGGGAACTCCACCGATTTTTCAAAATTCTGCATAATTAAGTGGTTGAGATGTAAGTCATTCAGAGTGGTTTGGTGTGAAATGCCTCGTTCTAGAGAAACTTACCGAGTTAGAATTGTTCACAGTGGTGGTGATAGGAACCAAACATCGTCATTTATTTTGGAAGACAAATACAAACTACTGAGAGAAGAAAAAAAAAACGACTAGGCCTAATATAAAATGATTTTGGTGAAAATGCTGCTGACACTGTGCTAGATTAAAATTATTCATTTTCGAAGTATAACAAAAGAAAGAAATGACATGAATAGGGTAGAAAATAAGCAATTAAAAGTGGCGTTTTGTCCAATACTTAATAATTAATCACCAGTAGACCGCCCGGAAATGTGGACCAACAGTGGCCTGCCATCCTCTTGCTATCTGGGATTAATACAACATAAATATCAAATCTGAAGAAAGACATTTTTTCCTCTGGGGCATTTAATTTTAAAATATCTCCCCTTCTATTCAATGATATCTATTTCTTATAAAAAGTTTATTACAGACGTCTCTTGCCTTACACATAAATGCAGCCCTTTCATGTTTATTTCAGTGTCAAAAAGTTGTCGTTACGTGTGCTGCTACCAAAAAATTGGCAAAATGAGAGTCAGCTGACATATCTAAGTGTTTCCATCCAAATCTACCTCGAATAGTCTGGACAATATCGGCTTGGACCACGTTATAATCACATTAGGCCTCAGTCAGACAGCTGAACTGTACTGTTTACATACTTATAGCTTTGTTAGCCTAGCAGTCTCATGCTAACATGCTAACAGCTATAAACTATGTTTATAGCACATAAAAACAAAATCAACGTAAAAGTCAAAGTCAGCTCTACTGTTAGTTCTTATCATCACAGACGTGACACGTGGTTCTTGTTTATCTTTCACTCAACCCCTCACCATGGAGGTCACCAGCACATTGGCTAGCATGTTGGCCTTTAGCTAGCTAATATAACAAGCTGTAAAACTGATGTAAGCATCACACCGGACATTCAAAACTAGTGCTATTCCAAACCCCAAGAGCTAAAAAAGAGACAGAACATGACTGTGCTTAGAAAATGTGCTTTATGATATAATAATTATAATTATACTGTTAAACGTTCTTCATATTTCTGGTGCTTATGATGGATTGTAGCGCGGTAACAAAAGCGGCCAGCATTCTGTGCACTAGTTGAGTGATTTAGAACAGGGTTTCTCAATCACTGGGTCACGGACCACGGAGGCACCCTCTGGTGGTCCTCAGGCCCGTACTTATTGTTCTGGCAATGGCACTTTACGTCATGATGATCAGTGAAAAAGTAATTGGCTTATAAACCAGAATAAAATAAACAATAAACAATATTAATTCAAGCCCTGCTAATCTAACCTGTACCTTACACTGAGAGCCAGATCAAGGTTTGCTAATATGCGCTTTGCATATATAACTCCGGGGTGTATCTGTGGTTATGTTGAGATTTATTTATGATTGGGCTCAAATGAGCAGTCTGATCATTTAGCTGATGTTTAGGCCATAATTCTCAGGTTTTCAGTGTCTGCACTGAAGGAATAAAAAAGCAGAAGATTTTTTTTGCTTTCCTCTGTGGGCCCTCATGCTTTCTACTGATACAGTCCCAGTCCCATTTCACCCCTCACCCCTACCACTGAGCCCTTACCCCTCCGTTTTGTGTGTTCATGCTTAGGGGTAGGGTGTCCCAATTGTTGTTGATATAGAGAGGTAGGGCGAAGTGTTAGGGCTACATGGCCCTCCAGACGGATGTTTTTCAGAGACTCCAAACAGAGAGTTATGAGACAGCAAGATGGCGGAACAAGTGACCAAAGAAACCCACAAATGTGAGAATTTTCTCCATTAAAAAATTATAATAACCATTTTGTTTCAATGTATTTTGGTCGTTTTCTTCATAACAAGCATAAAAATTGCTAATAGTATGCTAAAGTCTCTAGCTAGCTAATTGTTCTGTTCCACCTTAAATAGTCCAGCAGTTACATTCTGGCGTCAGAACTGCCACATCATTTAATGAGGAACAGGAAAATTTGAACAATAAGCTGGAGGATAACTGACTTCAGCTTCATATCACTGAAGAATTAGGGGTGGGCGATAATAAATAATTGCCCCCCTCTTTGAAGGCCTATGATGCCCTAAATGTAACTAAAGCCCAGCAGTGAGGAGCTGAACTTTACCCTCCTCTGCTGTCACTGCAGACTGGCAGGGTCGCCTACAGAGCAGCGCTGGTAGCTGTTAATGAAGTGATGCTATTCTTTATTTGAGGGTCCCATTTCAAAGTGACATGAGAAAACAAGGGGCAGGGGTAAAAATAAGAAATGGGATGGGGCCAAAAAGTGGCCTTGAAGTGGAAAAGGTTGAGAACCCCGGTTTAGAACAGGGGGACCGGATTGGAGCACAGCCAGCATCTTTCCTACTACAGTGGGCTTTGTATTGCAAAGTGAAGTGGGCTGCTGCTGCCATCCTCTGTTCACATATGAAACTACAGTGTGTAGTTTACTAAGGCAGTTTACTCGCTGCTGTTCATGGACTCCCTCTGGCCTGCAGGTTTAGTTGTTTTCCCTGCTCCAAAACTCATAATATTCTAATGTTGCCTTAATTTGCAAACTGGACAAAAAGTTTAGCTTTACGAAGTTTACATGTGATATTTGAGATTCATTATATATTACATCACTACTTTTTCACTGTAATTGTCATAAATTCCAGGTAATACCAGGAAAGTGTGGCCAGTTACCCTAACCTCATGTCCTCCTTACTCAATAAGAGAACAAACTAAAGTTTGTACTATTAACTGATTAAATTTTTATTTTACTTTACAATGAAAATTGGATGTATTATTACAACCCCATTTCCAAAAAAAGTTGGGACGCTGTGCAAAATGTCAATAAAAATAGGATGCAATGACCTGCAAATCATGCAAACCATGTTTTAAAGGAAAATATTACAAAGACAACATATCAAATGTTGAAACTGAGAAATTTTATTGTTTTTTGAAAAATATATGCCCATTTTTAATTCAATGCCAACAACATGTTTCAAAAAAGTTGGGACGGGGGCCTGTTTACCACTGTGTTTCATCACTTCTTCTTTTAACAGCACTCTGTAAGCCTTTGGGAACTGAGGAGACACTGCTGTAGTTTAGAAAGTGAAATGTTTTCCAATCTTGTTTGACATAGGATTTCAGCTACTCATCAGTTCAGGGCCTCATTTGTCATATTTTTCATTTCATAATGTACTAGATGTTATCAGTAGTGACAGGTCTGGACTGCAGGCAGGCCAGTTTAGCAACCAGACTCTTTTAATACGGAGCATTGTTGTTGTAATACGTGCAGAATGTGGTTTGACGTTGTCTTGCTGAAATAATTAAGGCCTTCCCTGAAAAAGACGTTGTCTGGGTGGCAGCATATGTTGCCAAATCGTGTATATCATTCAGCATTAATGGTGCCTTCACAGATGTGCACGTCACCCATGCCATGTGCACTAATGCCCCCCTATACCATCATGAATACTGGCTTTAGAACTGTGCACTGATAACAAGCTGAGTGGTCTTTAGCCCGGGAGGACACAGTGTCCATGATTTCCAAAAAGAATTTAAAGTGTTGATTTGTCAGAACACAGGACACTTTTCCACTTCACTCTTCCACTGTATTTTAACGAAATATAGGGTTTAAATGATTTGCACATAATTGCATTTTGCTTTTATTTACATTTTGCACAGCGTCCCAACTTTTTTTGGAAATGGGGTTGTATTTTATAAATATTTTAGTGGCAAACTTAGTGTAATGTCATAAAATACATTTTAAAAACTTTAACGGAAACTTTATAAATACACAAAACATACAATGTTTTAGCTTATTAGCACTTTTATTATTAGTTTTTGCTGTATGGTAATGGTACAAAAATGACTTGGCAATAACAATAATAACAGTAAGGCAGTATTAAAGTGATCAAAATAGTGTCCATCCACATTGAAATCAGTCACCCGGTATAATACAGAAACACGAGTTAGCATTAGCATACTGTACATGCACACGCCCAGTTCAATAAACACACAGTCTGAACAGCACAATCCGCAGGCATACTGGGCATAAGACTGGCATTTTCCGTGGGCAGTGTAGACCAACCGGTTAAAAATATCAAAACAACAAAACACACATGTTCATAAAGAAAAAACTGCAGCTTCATTCAACCTTTCCCCCTTATGTTTGTGTAAAAAAATGGAAAATACTTCAGCGAAAGATGCTAATGTGGCTAGCTGAAAGATGTGACCTGTTAGCATAAGGCTAAACTGCTTTTATTCAAAGTATTCCTTAGCATTTCACTCACCGCAAACTCTCACAAGAGAAAGGAACAGTTTTTGTTCAGCAGATAGTGACAGCTAGGTTTTGGGATGGTAACTGCTAGCATATCACAATAGTGTGGTGCCATACCCAGATAGCAGACAGTTTTGTTGGTTGACTACTGGGTAGACATTAGGCATGCGGGCCAGAATAGGGCCAGATCCTGGACAGCTTCATATGGTTTTGCCTCGTGTCTACATTCATGGGACAATTCTGGTGTGAATGTTGTGGACCAACGATGTAGTTGGGCCAGATTGAGGCCAAATTTGGGCCATATCCTTTAATTCTACTCATTTTACAGTGTGTGGTCCAGATCTGGGCCGAGGACCCAGCCGTATACTGGGCCAGAACAAACCAAGAATGTTGGCCCACAAGTGGGCCAGACAAATTTTGCTAACTGGGTAGCATGTTTCGGATCGCAGCTGCCACAGTCACAGTAGACATCTGCAGTTCACGTCGCCTTGTGAAATGAGCTCGACTGCGCTTGGAAGTAGAAACTCAGAGTTCGAAACTGCATCATTTTGGACCTCCACGCCTTCGAGCTACAAAGAAGAACATCTCCATGAAAGCGAGTATTGTGAGCTACAAGCTAGCAAGCCAAAGTCAGTGATTTGAGTGATAACTTTAACGTTAATGGTGTATTTAGCTTCTCCAGACAGCAAACTGTACAATGAGTATTAATTAAAAAAAAAGTAAATCCCACTTAAATGTAGCGAAGTGGGTCTTTATTAATGTTGATGGTCTGAACAGCCATGTTGGTTTGACATCATACACTGAGCTCGGAGTTGAGACTTTCCTAGTAGGAATTCCCAGTTGAGGTGGTGTTTTCTTTGATTTGTTTCCCAGCCAGAGCTGAGAAATTCCGAGTTACAAGCTTCAGTCAAAAAAAGCTCCGTCTTGGTGCAGTTAGCAAGCTAGGCACAACGTACTGATCTGTAGCAAAAAGTAACTGCCGTGGTTGGTGGCAGTGGGGTGACTTCTGTGCAGTTGCGATCAGCCAAGAAGCTAACACAGCAGTTAACAAACTAGCTGACTCGCTAACCATAAACTGCAAAACATGAACATATTCATATCAGATAACTGTATACTTGTAGATAAATGGTGTGATTGGCAGAAGTAGTGCTCCCTGATAGCAAGAGGTCAGTGGGCCACTGCTGGTCCGCTGATGGCAAAGCTGGCGGTCCAATGGCATTTTGCTCAGCGTTTTCTGGGCGGCCCACCGGTGGTTAAGCAGAGTAATAAACAAAATTCCACTAATCATCACTAAATTTCCACTCACAGTCCAATTTACTCATTTTTCTTTCCTTCCTTTCTTTAGTTATATTTTGTAAATTAGTTTAGTAAATAATTTTAATCCAGCACAGCATCAGCTACAACATTTTCTATGAAATCATTTTATATCAGGCCTAGTTATTATTTTTTTCTCTCAGTTGTTTGTAATATTTGTCTTTTCCAAAATAAAAGTCTGTGATCATTTAAAATCAGTTTGAGCTGATTAAAAACTAGATAGAGCTTGTATGGAGGACAATATCTGGGATGGCCCAAGGGTGGACCAGCAGTGGCAAACAGTGGGATGCCGACCTCATCAAGCCAGCGGACCAATATATGCTTGCTATCTGGGCTGCTGCAGTTAGCCATGCAGCTAACACAGCAGTTAGCAAGCAGGCTAACTAGTCAACCGTAAACAGTAAAGTCACAAAAGTAAAGAAAACAATACAGTTTCCTGACCGACCATCTATGCATTCGCTCTTTCACGTGTTAATAGCCATTTGGGAAGAAATCGTAAAAGATTTGTGCTCAAACGCCAGTTAATTTAGCGTCTCCTCCATTTTCAGTGCTGCTATATTTCTTCAGAAGTACACCAAGTAGCGATACTGGTCAAAGAAGCGAATTTGTGTGTTAACGTTCACCATTAAAATGAATAGAATTCGCTTGTGAACACTAGCATGACCAGGCCTTTAGACTAATTTAATAAGAATACCAAAAAGCCCATATTACAGCCTATGTATAGCATAGGTGCCTGTATGCAATCTGTAGGCTTTTGCTTTCAGACATAAAAAATGAACCATGTGGAGCCAGTCAGACTTATGCTAGCATATAATGGTAATAAAGTTATGTTAACCTTTTAAAGCATCACTGTTTTGTGAGAGCACAGAGTGATGAGGGTGAGGGTTTACTAAGACACATGAGACGGAACAACCAGAGCAGTAACGACAGAAGTACCACACAAAAAGACATTAAAGATCCTTTTAGAGTTGTTTGAGTTGGAAATGCGACAGTTTCCTCACTTCATAAGTTTATGAGGACCGTCCGAACACACCAGAGGGGAACCAGAGCATGTTCCACGTTTCTCAAGTTCCCCGAGTTTATAAGCTGTGACCTACAACCAACTAGCACATTCTGGCATCATGGAAACACAGCAGACTAAGCTTTTCTATTTCCTTGTAGTGAGTGATGTCATTAGTACCATCCTAGGTTTATGTGTTGTTCATGCGGTAAATTTGCCAGTTGCCAATACCACCAGTTGCACACAGCTGGTAGTGGACGTTCCAAACGCACCATAAGAACAGGCGCATGTTTCCACCGCCAGTTATTCTACATGCTAACCATGCTAACAAGCAATGAAAGTTAAAGCTGCTAGTTTGGCTACGTTCACATTACAAGCCTCGTTGCTCAAATACGATTTTTTGCTCAAATCCGATCTCTGACAGGATGGTTCACACTCGTTTAATGATTCAAATCATTAATGTGAACAAACTGGCGTCCTGAATGACCCTCATGAGCACATCCTACTCAGTAACGTCACGTGAATGAATCACGATCATCATCAGCACAAACTAACGAGCAGAACGAGCTTCACGGTGAAGATAATTAACTCTGATCAGCTCTCAGCTTCATTATTAGAGCGAGACGAAGGAGAAAAAGGTGAGATGAGCTGCTTTTCCACCGTTTACAGGCTTTAACTTCTGTTCGGCGCTGCTGCCATGGTAACGCTGAATGACGGCGCACGCACAGTGGAAAACAAGCACATGAATTCCGATCTGAGCGTCACATTAAGGTCGCATGGCCACGAATCGGATACGTATCCCACCTAGGACCGCATATGAAAGAGGCTCAGGTCGGATTTAAAAAGATCAGATTTGTGTCCACACAGCCCTGAAAACATCGGATCTGAGTCACTTTAGGGCAAAAAATCAGATTTGTGCCACTTCAACCTGGTAATGTGAACGCAGCCTAAATGAAGTCATGCTAACTGGCAGCTCATTTCCACCATGATTATGTTGCCAGACGTGGGAGTTTCTACATACTAATAAGCAATAAACGCCGGTGTTATCAGTTAGCATGATGCGAATGAAGCCATGGTAACTGGCAACATTAACTGTCAATACTTGTTAGCACTGCTGGCATGTAACAGTGTATCTTGTAGCTCTTTGGAGGACAATATTAGGAGTAAAGCACTGGTTTCTTCCATGGACCACTGATAATTCATAGGTCAGTCATTTTTGAAAATCTGTGGAAAATATTGGTTCTGTTGGTGTGTTCTGATGGTCCCAGAAAAAGGTCCCAGTGAATACAAGGGTAAGTTCCAAGTAAGCCCAAGTTTACAAGTCGTTCCACATGACCAGCCAGAATGTCGCCACCAGAATGTTCTCTGATACCACAGCAACAAGTTAGACCACACTGGCGTTGCCATTGGTGCACCTGCTCATTTCAATCTGACGATTTTCCAAAATAAGTGCTCATGAGGTCTGTCAGAACATTACATGGCGATGATGTCACCCCTTCGCATCCCCGGTTCTTTGGTTTCAGCAGGTTTTCAAGGCCGGAATGGCACCATTTTTCTTTGTTGGCATGTTTCAGCCTTTTATCTCGTGTTTATTTTGCGGGCTGTATTTTAAATGAGTTCTTCCGTGGACCACTGATGATTCACAGGTCACTCATTTTTGAAAAACATTTTTTTGAAAAAAGGTTCTCATGGGGCGTTCGGACGGTCCCAGTAAAGGTTTTTTGGGGTTAAGCATGAGGAAGATGCACTAGAATGGCTGACAGTCTTAAGTACAAGGGCAAGTTTCGTGTTACTTGAGTTTACAAGTTGTTCCGACCAGAATGTTCTTTCATACCACGGCAACAAGTCAGATCCAGCTGGCATTGGCCAACTGGTAGTTTTGATCTGGTAACATGACAATCTTCCATCATTAAAAATTTACATGGACTCTCCGAACTTTACACGGCGACAGTGTCACCCCCTCGTGTCCCTGGTTCTTTGTTTTTTAGGGCCAGAATGGCACCGAATTTGCTGATGGAAGTCCACAAAATGGTAACAAGACTGGGCACCGGCATCTTGTCGGTGTTAAAGGGTCTATAGACGGAGACCCTCAGTCCAGTGGTCCCTGAAAGATGAGTCTGACGTAGGGCCTGTCTCGTTTGAGCTGTCCGAGGCAGAACGGACAGGCCGGATGGAAGACGTTTGTCCCGCGCTTCAGCGGCGTTTTGCTCCAGTGTTCCGCCGTTCGCTCCGAGCAGACGTGTCCACAGGGGACAAACGCGTGAGACGGCGACTCGGCGTCCACGTACACATCCGACACGCGGCCCAGGGTAAGCGGAACGTACGGGCCACGACTTCGGCACAGCGGACACTCTCTCTCTCCTCTGACGGCTTCTGCTTCCTCCTCTATACTCCTCTCGGTCTGTCCCCCTCTTTCTCCTCTATCCCTCCCTCCCTCTCTTCCTCTTTTCACCGTCTTTTCCTCCCTCTCTCCTTTAACGGCCTCGTTCTCTATTCCCTCCATTTGTTCCTCTTTTTCTCCCCCACTCTCTGCCTCCCTTTGTATCTCTCTTTCTCCCCTATCCCTCCCTCCCTCTCTCTCCGTCTCTCTTTTCTCCGTCTCTGCCGAGCTCTGCTGTTTGTAGGGAATACCCCTCCCCTGCCACTGATGGTATCCGTGGACGTGTCCACAGGTCAGGTAGGCCCAGGGCCGGCGGGGCCGCGGGCCGTCCAGGCTAGGGAACGCCAACGTGCTGAGCAGGACGGGGCACTGGGGTCGGGCGGCGTTCAGACGGAGCCGCAGAGCCTCCAGGTGGCCGGCGGTCGGACTGCGCGACAGACCTTCCACCGAGCGCCACAACAGGGTCACTCCACACAGATCGATCAGAGAACCGTCCAACAGCACCGGAGACTCGTCCTTCACCTACAGTGAGAGAGAGAAACGAGGCAAAGTGAGTGAAAATGAACAGACTAACCTCCTCTAACATCTGAACACTTGTTTCTCTCGCAGTTTGTGCACTAAGTAGCTAATCTTCAGGTCAGCCACTTGGCTAACAAGCACAGCTGTGATATCAGAGCAACATTAGTTAATGTTGGCTAGCGTTTACTCTAGTTTCAAGAGTTTATAACATCATTTGCAGTGACAGAGAGTATATATATATTGACGAATATGTTGTAAGGCCATCTCAGGATGTATGGTCATCATGCCGTCATCTTGGGATTTGCGTATCGCTGTTGTCAGAAGAAAATCTCCTTTTTTGACATTTTTTTGACGTTTTTCAGTTTTTGACATAATTTGAAAAAACCTGTTACCCTTTATATTTTATGTAAATTTCATGATGAATGGACTAAAAGAAACGGCCCAAAATTACTTGGAAAAAAGTCTGGTTCCATTGACTTACATTAAAAGTAAAGTAGGTTTTTTTCTTCTCCTGTAAAGTTACCATTTTGGAGATACGAGGTTTTCTTCCGACGGCAGCCTTATATAGTCCTGAAGTCAGTTGATATGCAATATATATCAGTTCACATAGAGTGTATATATGGGGATAAAGCAGTGCCTGAGGTCTACAGTTTATATACAGCATTTATCAGTTTAGATATAGAATATATCAGTTTATTTACATTAAATATCAGTATATACAGCTTTCATCAGTTTACACACAGCCTATACTGGTTCATATACAGTGTATATATAGGCATAGGGAGGTGCTTTAAGTCTTCAGTATATTGTAGTGACCCACTACTTGCTGTTGCTGGCCACTAGTCGCTTGTGGCGCTGATGGCCGCGCCAGGAGGATCATGAAAGGCGCACACCCTTCAAAAAAAGGACTATTTGTGTTGTTTTTGTTGTTGTTCGTCAGTTAAAGGTATTTGGTATGTGTTGTGTTTTTCTGTGTCAGGGGATGGTGGTTGTTGTGTTTTGTATGTAGGGGGGGGGTCACTGTGAGGGTAAAGTGTATGGTCACTGGTGACCTCCCCCGTGGGTTTGGTGCATCGTATGTGCCTTTCTGCCCTGGTGTTTAACACAGAGCGCTTTTTGTAATGGAACCAGGGTCTCCCCTGTGTCTTACTCAAGGTTGCCATGACAATGTATCTCCGATTTTGTCGTTTTACAGTTTTTGACATAATTTAAAAAATGTCTGTTGTCCTTTACATTGTGTGCGAATTTCATGATGAATAGACCCAAAGAAATGGACCAAAATGACTTGGAAAGATGTCTGGTTCCATTGACTTACATTAACAGTAAAGTAGGTATTTTCCTTCTCCTGTAAAGTTACCATTTTGGAGATACGAGGTTTTGTTCCGACAGCAGCGATATACAGCACATAACAGTTTACATACGATGTACATATGGGCATATGGCAGTTTGTTTCAAAATGTGTTTTATGCCACATTCATGATTTTTTTTATTATATGTATTGTTGAGAAATTAAAATGTTTTTTGATAAAAACTGAGTTATACATCAGCTGTTATTCTTTTCAACTCTCTTCTTAATACAAATCAATGCAAAGTGCTTCAGAAGATAAACTCTCATGTCTGTCTCGGTGCTGATTCTGCTCCATTTTCAGTAATTTCACTGCAGTGCAACCCACTGATGCTTGTACCAGCTCTCTTTCTGCAGTAGGGGGCAGTCTGTATCTGATCATTCTGAAGTGAGTGCTGCTGTTTGTGTTCCTGCAGTGAGTCAGAGCGCTGGCTTAGCACATACTCACGCCATAAAGCCCCTTAAACCATGGTCACCTCTGAGGGCCTTTAAAACATATCTAATAAAACTCAAACTGCTAGTTTGGCAAAAATCTGATTCATGCAATTTTCCCTTCATTACCCCAAATGTAGTCAGTCAGGACACGTCTGGTGTCTGAAGTTTGCTCCTTTAGTTCTGTACTGGAGCTACAAGACTAATGTAGCTACCAAGTAATGGAAGATTATAGCCCACCAATTAGCCCTGCGCTAACATCATGTCTAAATAATGTAGAGTTGTTAAATAATCTCAGATAGACTTGCTTATGAGGTTTCTGACACTGTATGACATACTGTGATCTGTAAACAAGAGCGAAATTGGCCAAAGATTCAGTCCTGTCTGTGTGTTTTCACAGATAATAGACATACAACGTAGGTAAGATTAATAAAACGTTAATTACTACTACAGTGAAATGTTTAGTATGTGCATAATGTCAAATTCTGGACTGATTTGGTTTGTTTTCTGACCTATAAATGTTTAAACGGCCGATTCATAGTGTGTTTAATATGGACTGTAATCAAATTTGTTTGACCATCCTGATGATTTGGCTACCAGCATAAGTGGACAAAGTACAGTACTTCTGTAATTGAGTAAAAGTGGATGTACTCTTGGTCAAATGCTACCTAAGTAAAAGCGCAAGAGTATTTGCTTGTAATTAAGTATCACAGTTAAAGTACTTCTGCTTCTTCTAGATATTTTGTAATGTGATTTTTGATGAGACTTGTTTGGCTACAGATGTGAAAACTGAGTTAATGTTAATCAATTAAAAGTACAACCCTAAACCCATAAAAGTTGGGACGCTGTGTAAAATGTAAATAAATGTAAATAAAAACAGAATGCAGTGATTTGCGAATCTCGTAGACCCATATTTTATTCACAATAGAACACAGAACACATATCAGATGTTGAGAGTGAGACATTTTACCATTTCATGAAAAACATTAACTCGTTTAGAGCTTGATGGCAGCAACGCATCTCTAAAAAGTTGGGACAGGGGCAGCAAAAGGCTGGAAAAGTAAGTGGTACTAATAACAAACAGCTGGAGGAGCAATTTCAGCTGACTCACATGACTGGGCATAAAAAGAGGATTTTAGAGAGGCGGAGGTTCACCAATCTGGGAAAAACTGTGTCTAAAAATTGTGGAACAATTTCAGAAAAATGTTCTTCAACGTAAAATTGGGAAGACTTTGAATGTCCCACCATTTACAGTACATAATATCATCAAAAGATTGAGAGAACCTGGAGAAATGCCTGTACACAAGGGACAAGGCCGACAGTCACTATTGGATGCTTGTGATCTTTGGGCCCTCAGGCGGCACTGCATTGAAAACAGGCATGATTCTGTACTGGAAATCACCGCATGGGCTCAGGAACACTTCCAGAAACCACTGCCTGTGACCACAGGCGAATACCTGAATAGTAACTTCAGTATTCGAATACTGGCACCTCGCAGGGTTAACAGAGTACTCGAGTACTTATGCGCATCCTGAGTCCTAACCTGTGCTTCCCTGTGTCACTGACAGAGCTACTGACGCACTCTTCATTACAACACACTCTCTGTGTTTACTCACTGCTGCAGAGCGCGGGAGATTAAAGGAATGAGTGACGACTCCTAGGAGATGAGTTTTAAAAACAGACTGTTTGTGTAAGTGGGTGGACATTGTAACACACACACACACACGCTGACTCTGCAGTCCAGTTTCCACACTGTGTGTGGTCCGCACACAAACTTAATGTTTGGTCAACCGCACCACTGAGCCTTTAGAAACAACACCAGTGTACACAGTTTGGAATCACCTGCCATATTAACAAGTTCTTTTCAACAAAAGGTATTTTTAGATGTTTTTATTTGAATATTTAATTTATTCTTTGAACTAGAAGTGAACAAAATGATGAATAACATTCTCTCCCTTTGACACATCTTTCTGTCACATTATCTGCTTTGAAATTTGATCTCTCTGTTATTATAACTTAAATATCAATGTTCTACAGCTTTCTCAGTTATTTCAGAATTTTCTTCATTTTTATTCAGTTTCCTGGTGGTCTGCACTGTTCGAAATAAAGGTTCTGCGCAGGTACATTTTTCATTCATCAAGGTACGAACAGTGTAAATGTTCCCTCAAAGGTACAACAGTGGTTTTAAGGTTCAACCTAAATAAGTTTTTCCAGGTGAAAAGTTCGTATTTGTACTTTTTCATAACTGAATGTTTTAAAACAGAACAATAAAATAAAAAGCCTGGAGACGAGACGGGGTGTGTGGAGTCAGTACAGCTTAGAAAATATCATTTCAGTGGATTATGGTACAGTTATGTTCCCTAAATAAAGGTGCTGAGATGAACCCTTGAGGGAACCACCCCAGTGACGAGAGGGGTCCTGCCCCAGTGACACATTCATACCTTTATTTCTGAGAGTGTACTGATCATTTGAAAGCTGTAAAGTTGTACAGGACTAAAATATTAGAATCATTTTATAGCACTGTGCAGATGTCAGAGACCACTCTTTATTTAATTCATTTCCAGTCAAAACAGCCTTTACGTACAAGCTACATTTCTAAACATCAGTTAAATATATATATATATATATATATATATATATATATATATATATATACACATACATTTTTATCCATCTATTATCTTTATAACAACTACCATTCTTTTTAGGAGACTCGGTTTCAGTGTTTCAGTGAAATCTGCAGGGATGTTTTTCACACCTCCAAAGTTCAGTCTTAGAAGTTGGTTTAACATTTTCTGCTTCTCACAATCCAAACAACCCCAAACACATTCAGTGATGTTGAGGTCTGGACTCTGGGGTGGTCAGTCCACTGTTCAGCTTCTTTGTTTGATGTGTCTCCTTTTCTCAGTAAGAGCTTCTTAACAGCTACACATCCTTTCAGACTCATAGTGCTGAGTGTCGCACAGTGGAAGGATGGACAGGAACTCCTGTGGATGTTTTCAGATCTGAATCCAGAGTGGAGCTTGATTTTCTCCTCTCTCTCAGAGATGAAAGCTTTAAGTGCTGTTTATCTGATGGGGGCAGTTTTGATCTACCAGGTGTTCCAGGTGGTTGTTAGGAGCCTCATTTTCTCTGTAGCCTTTAATCATTTATTGAACTCCAGTTTTGGAAACTCCAGTTTTTTCACCTTAAGTATGTAGATTATCTTATATCTAATCTCCTCAGAAATCTCAGACTTGCCAAAAAATAAATAACTTGTACTTAATGGCTGTTGTGACTGGAAATTAAGTGAATGGTGCTCTCTGATTTTGGCACAGTACGATCTATGTATCTGCAACCAAATTGTTTTTAAGTATTATAATACCGAAAACAGAGTCCAAACTTTTGAATGGTAGTATATGTCAACACTGTCAGATCAAACCCTAATAACTGCATTTTTGTAATTTTATTTACTATTTATTTACTGGACCAACTGAAATGGAACTTACATTAAACCGTACCAGCAGGGCCAGTACACTCCTGTGTGTATGTGTTGTAGAGACTGACCTGTTTGCCTCTGTCCTGTGGTGATGTGGTGTCTCGGAGCGTGAAGACGTTCCCGCAGACTGATATCTCTCTCCACACCGCTGGTTTGGAGCCGCGTGCTGGCTGCATCAGCAGAACTCCATTAGTGGTCAGGCCGTCCATCTGACAATCAAACGTTCTCCACTTAGCTGCCTTCTCCTGTTAAATGTGCACACAATCAGCCTAATCAGACACTGGAGCTATATTGTATGGCCAAAAGTATGTGGACACCCCTCCTAATTATTGAGTTCAGGTGCTGCTAACAGGGATATAAAATTGGTCATGCTGAAGAGCTCAGTGACTTTAATTGTGGCACTGTCATAGGATGCCACCTTTGCCATAAGTCAGTTCATTTAAATTTATGCCTTGCTAGATCTGCCCCAGTCAACTGCAAGTGCTATTATTGTGAAATAACAACAAATACAACAATAGCTCAGTCACGAAATGGTAGACCAAGTGCTGTAGCATGTAGAGCATATCCTCTGTAGAATCACTCTCTACAGAGTTCCAAACTGCCTCTGGAAGGACCATCAGCACAAGAACAGCGAGTCAGGAGCTTCATGAAATTGGTTTCTATGGCCAAGCAGCTGCATAGGCCTACGATCACTATGCGCAAAGCCAAGCGTCGGGTGGAGTGGTGTAAAGCACACCACCACTGGACTCTGGAGCAGTGGGAACATGTTCTCTGGAGTGATGAATCACGCTTCACTATCTGGAAGTCTGATGGACGAATCTGGGTTTGGCAAATGCCAGGAGAACATTACCTACTGGAATACACAGTGCCAACTGGAAAGTTTGGTGGAGGAGGGATAATGGGCTGAGGCTGTTTTCAGGGTTTGGGTTCCAGTGAAGGGTGATGTTAACGCTACAGCAAACAAAGACATTTTAGACACAGATATGCTTCCAATACTGTGGCTACAGGTTGGTGAAGACCCTTTCCTGAGCCCCTGTGCATAAAGCAAGCTCCACAGAGGCATGTTTAGATGAGTTTGGTATGGAGGAATTCCAGTGGCCTGCACAGAGCCCTAACCTCAACCCCACTGAACACCTTTGGGATGAACTGGAACATCAACTGCGAGTCAGGCCTTTTCTTCCAACATCAGTGACTGACCTCACAAACGCTCCTTTAACTGAATAAGCAGAAATTTCCCAGAAACACACTCCAAAATACTGTGTAAAGCCCCTAAAGAAGAGTGGAGATCAATACAGCTGCAAATGGGGGCAAACTTTATATTAATGTCCATAGTTTTGGAATAGGATATCCAACAAGCTCATATATGTGTGATGGTCAAGTGTCCACATACTTTTGGCCACATAGAGCATGGAAAAACTGGTTCATTCAAAGAATTCATTTCAACGAAACCAGTTAATTTAGTTGGAACCTCACGAAGTATTTTTGAAGTTAAACTAATGAACCATTTTTACAGTATATAAGCTTCTATTACTTGTTAGCAAGATTAGAAGAAGATTAACTGACAGTGTAAATAATCCTGAGTTATGACTGCAGCGGTAAGCTGGTGTATTTTCAGTGGAGCTCACCCCGAGGAAGATGTTTCTGGAGCAGTCGAAGCCGGCGGCGTAAACGCGGGCGGTGTAGGGCGGAGTCCGATCACACACAATCCGACACGCAAACCGCGAGACGGTGCTCTGCAGGGGCCGCATGGGACCGTTACCATGCCTACCACCAGCTGTTTCTGTCACCACAATGTCTATCGGAGTCTCTGTAGATCTGCCAATCTGAGAGAGAGAGAATGAGGTAAAAGCTTGTCATTATCATAGTCAGGCTGTAATTATCACTTAAGTGCACCAGCACGGTAATTGTATGCAATTTTCTGGAACACTGTAAGTGTTTGTGTGTGTGTAAAATGAGGCTTCGGTGCTGTCTTTGTTTTTGTTTTTGTATGTTTTCAGGACAAAAATGTCCTGTTTATATAGAAAAAAACAGTGGTTTAAAAAAAATACCAGGCTAAACTGCTCTTTACAAAACCTTTATCTTTATTCTTTTAAGCTAAAAGCGTAAAACTGTTTCCTTTTGGTTACTGTGACTAAGGTTAAGGTGTTTTGTTTAGGGTTAGGCTAAAAATTCTTATTACAGGCACTTATATCCAGCTAACAGCGTCCTGTGGGCACTGATGAAGGACTAGAGGATGACCAACACCAACTGTGCAGCAGCAGATGAGCTATCGTCTCTGACTTTACATCTACAAGGTGGACTGACAAGGTAGGAGTGTCTAATAGAGTGGACAGAGAGTGGACACAGTGTTTAAAAACTCTGTCTGATCCACTCGTACCAGCACAACACACACTAACACACCACCACCACATTAGTGTTACTGCAGTGCTGAGAATGATCCACCACCCAAATAGTACCTGTGCTGTGGTGGCCCTGTGGGGGTCATGATGACGTATATATGGGACCCCCCATTAAAGGTGTATTCTTGTATTGCTATACTTGTGAGGACCCCATGTCCTCGCTATGACAGGACTATAAGAAATGTTTGCTCAGTGTGTTGTTTTCACCACAATTACTTTTTTTTATTATTATTTGAAAACTAAAATAGCAGAAAAATTGCCTTTTGGATACTGAGGGAAAGGTTAGGGTTAGGTTTAGGTTTACGGGTAGTGTTATTTAGCTACAGTAACACAAAAATCAATAGAAACCTACGGCCATCCTCATATGTATAGCAAGACAAACGTGTGTGTGTGTGTGTGAGAGAGAGCGTGTGTACCTGAAACATGTCGGTTTCATTGTCATCAGTGTACTCCACCACCACCATCTCAGACCAGGAGAGCGTGTACGACACGCTGTGCTGGCTGTTTTTACTGATCACCTTCAGAAGAGAAAGAAGGACCATGAAGAGGACAATTCCACAAGACTAAAGAGGGTACAAATGACCTACATTGTGTCCAGTTCTGTAACTCTGCCCTACCTTCAAGCCTCAGCTTAGTATACTAAGCAGGCATGTAATAAACCGTTTATTACACAGGCAAACTGTCTTAGCAGCCTGACCTGCAATATGTCATAAATGTTGTGAATGTTGTTCACTTCCAGGAACAGTAATATTTAGCTACAGCAGTGTGTCATTCAATGGAAATGCCTATTAAAGATAGTGGAAGTAGTACAAGACCACAGCAGAGCAGACTGGGGCTGAATGTAAAGCGCTGTGACTGTATTATATATGTGTGTGTGTGTGTGTGTGTGTGTGTGTACCTTGGCTGCCTGTGGGCTGCAGGTGTGTGTAGTGCTGGGTTTGACGCCATTGGCTGTGGGTCGTTTAAACAGGCTGAAGCGGCTCCTCCGTCTGCCCCGATCTCCACCGGGCAGCGAGCCATTACACCTGCACACAGAACACATGCACACCTTTAAAACGCCTTTAAAGGGCCAATACCATGTAAAAAACCAACGGTGCACTTTTCAAATAAAAGACTACAGAGTTTTATGTAAACCCTGTTAAAGTTTCTAAACATGTATGGAAACTAAGTCGTCCCAACCATAAACACATTTATATACAGTTGTGTGCAAAAGTTCGGACACCTCTGGTCAAAATGACTTGTTTAGTTGATTTTCTAAGTAAAAATAAATGAACCCATCCTCTACAGAGAACACTGCCTTTTATGATTCACTTTTTCCCAAAAGGTTAGACTAAGCAAAAAAACAGTAACTGCATACTGAAACGTGCAGGGGCGCCCAAACTTTCGCACACGACTGTTATTAAAGCAGTGTTTCAGTTCTGGACTGCTTTACGAACGACGATGTGCAATACAGGGCAGCCAATCAAAACACATTTACATGTCGCTGTTGTCGGAGGAAAACCTCCAAAATGGTAACTTTACAGGAGAAGGAAGAAACATACTTTACTTTTAATGTAAGTCAATGGAACCAGACGTTTTTCCAACTAAATTTGGGCCGTTTTCTTTTGGACCATTAATCATGAAATTTACACACAACGTAAAGGAGAACAGACACTTTCAAATTATGTCAAAAACTGTAAAACAACAAAAATAGAGATACAAGGTTTTTTTCCAACAGCAGCGATATTTCAGACTTAAAGGCACAGTAACAAAAACAGCCTGTTCAATTCTGAGGGATGAATAGAGGTTGGAAGATGGTTGTTTTTGGTATATAAAACACACAAATGTGGACGGCTGGAGTAAAAAATGACAGCTGACATTCAATTATTTAAATTTTGAACTTTACAGAAACAAAAACTGCCTGTTTAAAAGAGAGGTTGGAAAAATGAGAGTCATGTAAAAATGAATTTTTGGTGCATAAAAAACCCACAAGTGCTGAAATAAAATGTAGAATATGGGCCCCCAAACCCCTCAACAGGCCGTGGGTCGTCCAGCGGGTCCGAAGTTTCACTACACACTTCTACAATCTGAGAATAGCTCAGCTAGTTTGCAGTGAAGTCCCTGTCGTTACTGAATAATAAGCCTTTGTATGTACTAAGCCTGAGATTTTAAGGGGTTCAGATGCCTGTTGAGTGATTTTAAACATTATCAGTTGACAGTAGAAGACGGTAGAAGACGTTCTTACCCGAGAACGATCAGCTCTCCGTATTTGACGGGCTTGGAGGAGTTCTCCTGCTCTAAAGAAAACATCAGCCCGGTGTTGAGTGCACACGATCCTCACAGAAATACCTCTCTGTCTCTCTCTCTAATGTCTCTCTCTCTCTCTCAGTGTGCTTTTTCACCGCTCTCCGCTCATGACAAACCACCTGCAGACACAGAGACACACAAAAGCAACTCAAATTATTTCATCAAACCAATATCAGCACATCCTCTGAGTCAGTATATTGGCGGTGATGAATCATTATTTCTGTAGAAAACTCCTCCACCTAATCCAAGCCGAACCGATCACGGATGACGCAGGGCGCCTCGGGGGGGTCCGTGGAGCAAACATGGAGAAAAATGTTCAGATTGTTTACTGTCATCAACAGAAACACAATCTTAGTTAGATACATGGCTTAAAGGGGAAATCCACCAATTTTTCCACATTTCTGCATAATTCAGTCCTTCAGATGTAAACTAAGTCATTTAGAGTGGTTTGATGTGAAATGGTTCATTTGCAGAGAAACTCATAGACTTGATGATGGTAAAATAGTGATAAAATAAGTTTTCTTCGGGACTATTTTGCCTCACAACGTCCAGCATTAACCCCGCCGCCACGAATGCCTTTTAAAAGCACGCATTTTAGGCCGAAACCTTCTCAAACCCATCATTGAATACTGACAGCAGGCAGCGTATCGATAACCATTTCAAATAATAACTTTCCGAGGCATTAAAGGCATTAAACTCTTCAGACGCCTGGTTCCTATCACCACCACTGTGAACAATTCTGGCTCTGTCAGTTTCTCTAGAACAGAGCGTTTCACACCAAACCATTCTGAATGACTCTGTTTACATCTTAATTATGCAGAAAATTTGAAAAATCTGTGGAATTCCTCTTCAACTCCCAAGACCTGAACTGAAACTAGCCAATAAAGCAGTAAATAAATGAATTATTCATACCGGAGCAGCTTTCAGAGACCTTTTTAATGGACCCAGGCGCTGCCAGATGATCTTCAGCTCACAGGAATGGGGGAAACTAGTAAAAGCAGCCTGTGAGAAACTTTCACTTCCTGTCAGACATTTGCTTATGTGGTTTGGTGTGAAATGATTCACTGTACAGAAACCTATAGACTCAGACTTCTTTACAGTGGTGCTGATAGGAAACAGGGGTCACAGTGTCTACAACACAAATACAGCCATTTTGTTTACTATCCAAAAACCACCAGTGAACCCACACGCGTCTTCTGAGTTTATATGTGATGATGATGATGATGGTAAAATAGCTGAGGTCTCCACCATAAATGTGTTTTAAAATACATTTTAGGCCAGAACTTTGTCTCAAAAGTGCTGTAAAACAGTGTCTCAGACATCAGGCAGTGAATTCATCACCATTTCATGTAATAACTTTCTGTGATGGAGCTTTTAGAGGCATTAAACTCTTCAGACGTCTGGTTCCTATCACCACCACTGTAAAGAAATCAGTGAGTGTGTTTACATTCACTCAATAATCAGATCATAATTGGATTTCTGCAGTTATCTGATTATTCAATTGGTTGTGTAAACAGCACACTCTGATCTACAAATCTAAGAAATCTGATAAAGAGAGCTGGATTCTAGCTCAGTAATCAGATTTCTCAGTGCATGTGAACTCTTACTCTGATTTCTTTCAGATTTCTCAGTCTGAGCATGAGCGAAAACAGACCAGAGATAAGCGAGCAGCGTTGCCGCGAGACGCAGCAAAACACTTTTGGAGCGACAGTGAAACCAAATACATGCTTGACAAAGTGAAGGATTTAAATATTCTTCATCTTCTAGATGATGTTTGTTCATAGTTTCAGGTAAAGTGACGCAATGATTAAAAAAAGCGGCGTTATGAAGTTTGAGTTTTACGTTATGTTTACGTCACGTCTTCCTCTGTGAGTTTATTGGCTGATTGCGAAGCAGAAATCCGATTACTGTCTGACTCATGTAGATCTGGAGTTTCCCCATTATCTGATTACTCAAAGTATGAATTTAAACGCATTGACTGGATTACTGACAAAATCTGATTTTCTGCAGTTACTTCAGATTATTAAGCGCATATAAACACACTCAGTTTCTCTACAGTGAACCATTTCACAAAAAATCTTTCACAAATCTGAAGAATTCCAATGAAAGTTTTGTTCTCCGCTTGTTTCCGTTCCCTCAGATGAGAAATAATTAATGTAAAATTACAACAGGCTTTTGCTAACTGCAGCTTCTAAGTATTAGATGGGAATTTCCAAGATTTGCCAAAATTTCCATGTAATTAAACTGTTAAGACGTAAAGAAAGAGGGGTTTGGTATGAAATGACAGAGGGGTGCATGCAGGGCACTGTAAGAACAGTCCCCAAAAGAAGACTTCTTCTTTCTTGATTTGTCACTATTTTACCATCATCAGTGTTTCTGTACAGTGAACCATTTCAAATCAGCCCACATAAACAAGCGTCTGAAGGGAAGTGAAAGTTTCTCACAGGGCGTTTTACTCGTCCCAGTGAGTTAAGATCAGTTGACACCACCTGCATCAAAAGAAAATATCTCTGAGAAATAAACAGAGTCATTCTGAGTGGTTTGGTGTGAAACGCTCCGTTCTAGAGAAACCTAAAGAGTCAGAACTGTTAACAGTGGTGGTGATAGGAACCAGACGTCTGAAGAGTTTAGCGCCTCTGAAAGCTCCCCCACAGAAAGTTACTGCATGAAATAGATAATGAATACACTGTCCGATGTCTGAGACACTGTTTTATGATAGTTTTATGAGTTGTTTTTGGCTTTAAACACTCAGAGAAGTACATGCAGGGTGATACGAGGCCAAATAGTCCTCAAAGAGAGCTCGTCTTAGATTTACCACTATCTTACCATCATCAACATTACATATAAAACCCAGAAGACATGTGTAGGTTTACTGATGATTTTGGGTAGTAAATAAAATGGCTATGTTCGTGTCACGTCATGGTAGCGCATTGGAGCAGGACGAGACCCAAACAATACCGGATCCGTACCAGAACTAAATCAAGTGGAGTAGTTTAAGAGTCAGCCGTCAGAAGAGGAGTGACACTACAAACATTCACACGACCTTCAAATCTTCAAAATAGTATAAAAACAGCGAAAAATGACAGATTTTTCTCTTCGATCGCTGCACGTTCTGGTCTGGATGCTGCCCCCTAGTGGACCCATTCATATTGCACTAGTGCACGTTGGCAGACTCCTCTGTGAACGTCTGCGCGCAACACCTGCACGTGTTCACAGACGAGGAAGTGTAGTTTGGCCATTAGCTGATAAATACTGAACACAGCTGGTTTACACTGTGTTTGCCTGTTGCCGAGGCGACATAGCCTTATCTACTGTCTCATGCCAAGGCAGAGCAGTCAGGCAGAACAAATGATGAGTAGATAATGTCCAGCCTGTTGTGCGAGTGCCTGACCTTGCTTGCACCTCCTCCTCGCCCTTGTGTAACCGAGCCAAACGCTGGCTCACACTCGCCGGGCCGGGTAAAAACACACCGCACCGTTGCCTCGGCGACGGGGTATACAGGCTGTTATATAGGCTACACACCTCTCTGAGCATGCAGGGCCTGAGAAACGCGAGCCAGCTCAGTGTGTGAGTGAACTACAGCTCCCGCGCAGAGCTTTCTTCTGCTGCGGTCAACTCAAAAGACCCCTAAAGTCATAATTTAAAGAACAAAAAATGAGCATCACTGAGCCAGAATCAACAGAGGTTTAGCCTTCTCGCTAAGCTAACACTAGCCCCTAGTACTAACAAGGACATGGTTTAAAAGTAGCCTAACAGCTCCACACACAAACACACAGGTTTACCTTTTCAGATTTGTGTCTTTATTCTCTAAACCGGCCCCAGGGCGGCATCAATGAGCCAGAATGGACCTGCGTGTGTGTGAAAAGCTGTTTAGGTCTTCTCGCTAAGCTGACAGTAGCTTCTAGTGCCAACAAGGATATATAAGCAAAAATATGTTAGGCCAGCAGTTCCACACACTACGGAGTTATAAGCAGAGCCGGCTTATGAGGAGCCTGGCCGCTTCCTATTTCCCCCGTTATATCAAATACAGGACTGCTGAACAGCAGAGGGCACCCGTGAGCGAGTCCTCAATGAATGGGAGTGAATGGAGCTCAACGGCCAAAAACGAAAAGTTAAAATAGTTTCTAATCACTGAACCAGAACATTCCTTTAATTCTAGAAAGTAGAAGGATGGATTTCACTAAAAAAACAAAGAATTCTCACCTGTATGTTTCCTTTTTTCTACAGCAAACGGGGGTTTGGGCAGCAGGAGGCGGGCTTTACTGCTAGAGTGTGATGATTGATTGGCGAACGGAGCAGCTCATTGGCTGTTTGCGCTCACTGACGTCATGGACGTACATGAGGCGCCATTTTAAACTCCTATAACTCGAGTTTAAAAGCTCTTAAAGGCTCCATATCAACCCATTCATTTTGGACTCACTCGGGAGCGCCCTCTAGTGTTTGCGAAATCTGGAAGACATTATAGAGTGAGAATTCTCCTCTCTACGAGTTCTCTGGTACAAGCAATATGCATCACCAAAACATTAGCAACAGTTAGTGATGCCAATAAACGTTAGCAATGTCAGCATTGAGCACCCTAAAAACATTAATGTCAACAGTAATGACATCAGGATTTATCTCCACCAGTAAACATTAGCAATGTCAGCAATTAGACCCAGATAGCAGTGTTGATATGGCCCAAACCATAAAAGATTTGTTTTAATTTAAAGTAAGTAACGTGTCTGACTAAAATGTCTAAGTTCATTGAACATCAGATCAATTTTGTTGTCCTTACTTACTATTTTAGGCTCTAGGATGACAAAATTTTAGAGACGGCACAAATTATTTTAAACTAAATCTGAATTAAACTGCTAGCTGGGATATGTAGTAGTGTTCCTAGTGCTGAAGCAGATCATGTTAGACTAACTAAAATTATAATTAATGCAAATAACAAACAAAATGTCACACAGACCAAAACATGTTAGGCTGGATTTTTTAGTGTACTTTGCGATGTGTGGCCGAGATCTGAACTTAAATCCTGTTAATCCCTGTTTTATAACATAAATGATTGTCACATAGCTGTCAGCACCAGCAGTGGCCCAGATCTGTTCTGAGACATGTGGGCCATACAACCCTTTTTAATACCGGCCACTTTTGGCTCACATGCAGTTTGTTTGCCAGTGCTGATCATGGGCCAGCAGCGCCGTATCTGTGCCAGAAGTGAACCACATCTGCAGATCAGGGTAATCTTTAGCAACATGAGGAATGAGCACTATCAACAAACACTGGCAATGTCAGCAATTAGCACTACCCATACATATCTGCAGTGTCAGCAGTTAGCATCATCAGTAAACAGTAGCAATGTCAGCAGTTAGCATCACCAATGAATATTAGCAGCATTAGGAATTAGCATCACACATAAACACCATTTAGTATTCGATCAGTTTATACTGATTCTGCTCAGTATTATGTCTGAGGTATAATGCTACACTGACTGACTCCGTCTATCTACCTACCTATCTGTCTATCTGTCAGTCTGTCTGTCTGTCTATCTATCTGTCTGTCTGTCTGTCTATCTATCTATCGTTCTGTCGTGCTATCATTCTATCTGTTGTTCTATCTATCTATCTATCTATCTATCTATCTATCTATCTGTCTGTCTGTCTGTCTATCTATCTTTCTAACGTTCTGTCTGTCTATCTATCTATCTTTCTATCGTCCTGTCGTTCTATCGTCCTATCATTCTATCTATCTATCTACCTATCTATCTATCTATCTATCTATCTATCTGTCTGTCTGTCTGTCTGTCTGTCTATCTTTCTATCGTTCTGTCGTTCTACCATCCTATCATTCTATCTGTTGTTCTATCTATCTATCTATCTATCTATCTATCTATCTATCTATCTACCTATCTATCTATCTGTCTATCTATCTTTCTATAATTCTGTCGTTCTAGCGTCCTATCATTCTATCTGTTGTTCTATCTATGTATCTATCTATCTATCTATCTATCTATCTATCTATCTATCTATCATTTTATCGTTCTGTCGTTCTATCGTCCTATCATTCTATCTGGCATTCTATCTACCTATCTATCTATCTATTTATCTATTTATCTATCTATCTGTGTTTGTCTATTTATCTATCTAGCTGTCTGTTTGCCTATTTATCTGTCTGTCCGTACGTCCATCTGTCTATCCATCTATCTGTCCCTCTGTCCATTTATTTATCTATCTATCTATCTATCTGTCTGTCTCTCTGTCTGTCTGTCTATCTGTCTGTCTATCTCTCTGTCTGTCTATCTGTCTGTCTATCTATCTGTCTGTCTATCTGTCTGTCTGTCTATCTATCTGTCTGTCTGTCTGTCTATCTGTCTGTCTGTCTGTATATACGCTCAGCACTGTGGCAGTTTTAGGTATCTGACATTATTAATCTGAGTTTAAATGAGAGCTTCATGTTTATGTATGATCACATGCTAAACCATTTCCAAACTCCTCCTCGATGAGGCCCTTTATTGATCTGTAGCTGTATCCAGCGCCTGGTTTGACTGATCAATACTTGAATGTGTTCAGTCAAGTGTCCACCATCCGTCCACACAATCAACCTGTAGTTTTTTCCCCCCGTTTCAATAAGGCTGCACTTTCGCGCCCCCTAGCGGCCGCGCGAGCATTTACAGCCCTTTAAAACAGTCACTGAGAGAGAGAGAGAGAGAGAGAGAGAGAGAGAGAGAGAGAGAGAGAGAGAGAGAGAGAGAGAGAGAGAGAGAGAGAGAGAGAGAGAGAGAGAGAGAGAGATGTGGGCCTTTTGAGGAATGGAAAGAGTGGAGCAGGGCTGAGGCTGAGACACAGTTATTTATAAATACATCAGCATCAGAATCAGCAGCAAAAAAAGGTTTTCTTTAATAAACGAGGCGCATCTGCTGTTTCACTGTTTCCACCTTTTTGCAGATTCGCTTTTACTTACTGCGTATTTGCGTCTGCAATAACGCGCAACACACATTAATTAGCTCCTGGGTTCGGTATACAGTGCAGAAGAAGCACAGACTGAGCAAAAAGGCAAATAAAAAAGGATCTAATCGACTTTAAAACACTCCTGATCACCGGTTGTTGCTGCACCAGCTAAAGTCTATCACTGTCTGTTATCAGAATCATAACTGTGAACTCCTTTTTTTCTGCAGGAACAACATGAAAGTTTCCATTTTCCCGCATTTCTGCTGTTAGTGCAGTTCTGGTAGACTCGGAATGACACAGTTAATGCGAATCTAGCCAATCCAGAGAGCTTCAAGAGGAAAATCGAGCAGGTATTTTTAAGTGCATGCAGTTTTTTTGTCCTTTGTAAGCCAGAAAAACAAATCTTACCTGTCGTAGCAACTTTTCGTTGGGGCGCAAAAAAACCTCCAGTTGGACTGAAATAAATATATATTAATAAAATGCAGCTGTTCTGCCTAATAAGCCGGGCAGGTCCGTGTTTGGCATGAAAAAAGTGAATAAGTGGGTGATTTTCTGCGGGACCGTCTCTGTGTGTTTGAGTGTGAGTGTGTGTGTGTGTGTGCGTGCGTGTGTATGTGTGTGTGAGTGTGTGTATGTGTGTGTGAGAGCCTTCAGTGGTCGAACAGAGTAACTCATGCTGGATTCTGTCAGTGTCCCTCAGCTCAGCGCAGAGGGCGTCACATAAGCGAACCTGCAAAGGATTGTGGGTGATGTAGTTTTTTTGCTATACAGTTTAATACGAAGCCAGCTCACAAGGGGAATGGAGCCAACAACTGTTTATACTCTCAGCAGATGTTTACTAGTATATTCCTTCGAAATGAGCGAAATGAAGTAGAGCTAGCTACATAATAAAAGTATCTTTAGTGAGAATCTTTAATCAAAAATAGTCTTTGGCATTCAGGGCTTTAATCACTGTCATGTAACAACCTAACACGCTGTTTCTTAACACTTAAGGGCAAATTCAATGGCTGAGATGTAAAGAAAGGCAGAGAGTGTTGATGTGAAATACTTGCCCGCTCAGATGTCTTTACAGTGGAGGTGATAGGAACCAGGGGTCAGGATGACTACAACACAGATATTGACATTTCATTTATTATCCACAACCACCTGTGAACCTACACGTTTATTCTGAGTTATCGAATGCTGATGATGGTAAAATAGTGGTAAATCTGGAACAGTAAGTTTTCTTTGGGGACTATTTTGCCTCACAGCGCCCTGCATTCATCCCTCCATCACGGATGGATTTAAAAATACGTTTTGTGTGAAAATTTTATCTTCAAACTCTTGTAAAACAATGAGTGTGTTTACATGCACTCAATAATCGGATTTCTGCAGTTATCTGATTACTCAAATGGTCATGTAAACAGCACACTCTGATCTAGAAATCTGATTAAGAAATCTGATAAAGAGAGCTGGAGTTTAGCTCAGTAATTAGATTTCTCAGTGCATGTAAACTCTTACTCTGATTTCTTTCGGATTTCTCAGTCTGAGCATGTGCGAAAACAGTCTGGAAATAAGCGAGCAGCGTTACCGCGAGACGCAGCAAAACACTTTTGGAGTGACGCTGAAACCAAATACATTCTCGACGAAATGAAGGATTTAAATATTCTTCATCTTCTATATGATGTATGTTCATATTTTCAGGTTAAGTGGTGCATTTTTTTTTAAAAGCTGCATCGTGAAGTTTGAGTTTACATTATGTTTACGTCACACCTTCTTCTGTGAGTTTATTGGCTGTTTGCAAAACAGAAATCTGATTACTGTCTGACTCATGCCGACGTGGAGTTTCCCATCATCTGATTACTCAACAGCTTGTAAACGCGTTGATCGGATTACTGACAAAATCTGATTTTCTGCAGTTTGCAGATCGGATTATGAAGTACATGTAAACACACTCACTGAGTTGGCTTTGCAACCAGCCAATAAACTCACAGAAGAACACGTGACGTAAACATGACATAAAACTCAAACTTCATGCTGCGGCCATTTCATCAAGCATGTAGTTTGTTTCAGTGTCGCTCTAAAAGTGTTTTGTTGCCGTCTCACATGTGCTGTGTTAAATGCTACTCGCTTATTTCCAGTACCGCAGCCTGTTTTTACACATGTGCAGACTGACAAATCTGAAAGAAATCAGAGTAAGAGTTTACATGCTCTGTGAAATCTGATTACTGAGCAAAAATCCAGCTCTCTTTATCATATTTCTAGACCTTACTCCAATCTTAGAAATCAGAGTGTGCTGTTTACGTGACCACTTGAATAATCAGATAACTGCTGTAAACCGATTATGATCAGATTATTAAGTGCATGTAAACACATTAAATGTCTCAGCCATCAGGCAGCGCATTCATAACCATTTCATTCATCACATAATAACTTTCAGTGAGGGAGCTTTTAGAAGTGGATGTCTGGTTCCTATCACCACCACTCGAACAACCTATCTCAGTAAGTTTTTCTAGAATGGAGCTTTTCACACCAAAGCACTCAGAATTACATTGTTTACATCATAATCATGTAACTATGCAGAAATGCAGAAACAATCAGGTGATTTCTCACGTAACAATAACATTATGTCATACATAATACAAAATACAATAAGATACAATACGACAAAAATATAATACATAATGATGTGTTATAATACAATACATTACGACCCAATACAACTCGTTCCAATACGTTACTAAGTGTTACAATACAACAGCGCAATGCAATACGATAGGATATGTCATGCTACGTTACAGTAAGTTACAATACAGTGTTATGATATACTGAGTTCAAGTTCAAGAGGCTTTATTGTCATTTCAGCTCTATACAAGTACACAGTGAAACTAAACAACATACCTCCAGGACCAACACAGGAACACAAGTGCAAAACAATACAATATAGACAGTTCAGACAACACAGTGCACTAAATATGAGAAAAATGTACAATAAATACAAAACAGAGCACAGGCAGTACACGGAACTGAGAGTATGTGGAGTTGTGCAAAGGATGATGTAACATACTATGACATACAAGCAGATTAGCAGATAGCCTGGCATATATGAGCACAGCAGTCACTGAGGTAGCAACCAGAACAGCAATGGAGTACAGTATTTGGATATTGTTAAATAAGTAAAATGTGCAGAAATGCAAGAAGCCAGATATTGTTAAGGGGATAAAATGTGCAAGTATGCAAGTATTCAGGTATATAAGCTATATAAAGTGAAGTATTCCAGTGAAATGCAATAATTATATGTATATGTAAATAGTGTCACAGACATAATCTGGAACCGCAAGAAGTGGAGAGTGAGATGGCCTCATATTGTTATGTATAAGTGTGTGTGTGTTATGTTGTTATTATGATATATAGTGTTATTATGATATGTTATGGCACAAAACGATACAATACAATAGATTATGTATCGTAACGTAGCAGTTATGAGCTACAGTACAGTGGTATGATGCAGTACAATACAATAGGATACAATGCAAAGCGTTATGGCACAACACCATATGTTACAATATGTTGTACATTGTGTGGTATATGTGTTACATTGTGTTGTTAGTGTGGCAAAATGAAAGTGACAACGTCTAAGTGTTGACAGACTGTCCCATATGACCTAACTCAGAGTTGCATATTAAATAACACACTCTCCCATGTTACAAAATGCCCCATAGTACCTGAACCAACCCTACCAACTTTTTCGGCAGCCTAGTAAGGAGCAGAATAAAGACAGGTAAACACGAGGCATTGATACCAGTTTAGTATATCAAATAGACCAAATCCTTTTGTAGGCCATTGGGTGAACAGCTGCTGCGTCCATGTCAGCGTATTCACATGTCATTATTCACCGCGGAGTGTGGAAGTGTAGCCATGGATGTAGCGTACACAAACCTAAACATGGGGGAAAGTCATGGGATCACTCACACATTTTTATGATCTTGCTTCAATTATATAAGAGGCCTCCAAATTACACCGGCTAAATGACTCAGCCTCGCAGAGACATGGCACAACAACACAAGAGACCAAAACATCCACAATCTCTCTCTGTTCACTTCAAACCGCCGGCCTGAGAGCAGCACCAATCAAATTATTAGTCTTGTTTTTTCCCTCCAAAAAAGTGCTTTAACCTCTGGGGGCATTTTCCACCCCTTTTATTGCCATTTTTAAAGTGACCTACACACTGAAGAAGATGGCTCTTCAATAGTAAACGCAATGGTGTTCTATGTATTTATATATATATATATATATATATATATATATATATATATATATATATATAAAACAATTTAATGCTTAAATGGTTCTCTATCTGATGCAATAGTTCTATGTGTTATATATGGTTCTGTATAAAACCTTTTTGAAAATGGTTCCAATGGCATATATATATATATATATATATATATATATATATATATATATATATATAATATATATATATATATATATATATAAAACCATGTAATGCTTAAGTGGTTCTCTGCCTGATGCAATGGTTCTTCAGATTGATGGAGAACGTGTTATGTATGGTTCTGTATAGAACCTTTTTGAAAATGGTTCCATATAGCACCAAAAGGTGTTCTGCTATTCCGCTTTTGTGCACAATGTCAAGCGTCTAACATTAGCAGAACCCTTTGTTGGTGCTATGTAGAACCATTTTCAGACGTAATGTGTGTTATATGTACATAGAGCCATATATAACACATTCTCCTTCAATCTGAAGAACCATTTCCCCATGCAAAGAACCATTTAAGCAAGAAATGGTTCTATATGGAACTCGTGGGACTAAAAAAAGAGCATCTTTTAAGTGTGTAGAAAATCCAGAGGCTTTTTTTGGTCTCACTTCCTTCCCACAGTCCCACAGCCACGATGTGTTGTTGTTGTTTTAATATGTGGCCGTATATAAATCTGTTTTTCCCCTCTTCCTCTGTCTTTTTCTGTCCTTATCTCACTCCCCAAAAGTGTTCTGTAACCCCTCCCGGGGCATTTATTATTTTTTTATCGCCAGATGTTCCTTGAAGGAAGTAGCTAGCTTAGCGCTTCGCTTTTGTTGCCTCCGTTGCAAAGCCCAACACAAGCGACGCCATAGCAACCGCCTGGCGCGCGCGGCAACATAGCAACCGGCTCGCGCCGAGCGTTCTAGACCTCGGTGATTGGTGGAGGGGCAGCGCGCCTTCGCGGTTACGCAACGACAATGTTATGCCGACGCCGGGCAACGGTTGCCATGCGCACAGGTTTGTTTACAGCGTGTTTAAATACCCTGCCCTGAACTCGGACAGAGGGGAGGGGGGGACGGGAGAGAGAGAGAGAGAGAGAGAGAGAGAGAGAGAGAGAGAGGGAGAGAGAGAGAGAGAGGGAGGGAGAGAGAGAGAGAGAAAGTCTGTAATGTGGGACACAGTGTACTGTGTGTGTGTGTATTTTTAGATTTTGTATTATATATATATATATATATATATATATATATATATAATAATATATAACACACTAACACACCACCACCCATCAGTGTTACTGCAGTGCTGAGAATGATCCACCACCCAAATAGTACCTGCTCTGTAAGGGTCCATGGGGGTCCTGACCACTGAAGAACAGGGTAAAAGGGGGCTAACAAAGTATGCAGAGAATCAGATGGACTACAGTCTGTAAC